GATATTCAATAAATCGATTGTGGCATGAGCTGTGTGACATGTTGCGCCGTCTTGTTGAAACTACATCTCCTGGACATCATGGTTATTCAATTCAGGAATGAAAGAGTTAGTAATCATAGCTCTACACCCACCACCATTGACTGTAACGTTCTGGCCATCATCTTTTTTGAAGAAGTACGGACCAATGATTCCACCAGCCCATAAAGCGCACCAAACAGTCAGTTTTTCTGGATGTAACGGCACTTGAGGATTAGCTTCACTCCAAATGCGGCAGTTTTGTTTGTTGACGTAGCCATTCAACCAGAGGTGCGCTTCATCGCTAAACAAAATTCGCTTATGAAAATCGGGAACAACGGCAATCTCGTTTTGGACCCATTCGACGAATCTACGCCTTACTTGATGATCGTTTGGCTTCAATTCTTGCACGAGTTGGATTTTGTAAGCAGGTAAACCAAGATCCTTCCGCAAAATCTTCCATAGAGTGGATGGACACAGATCCAATTCCTGTGCTCGATGGCGGATGGACTCATTCGGGTCTTCCTCAATGCTACGCTCTACAGCAGCAATAGCTTCTTCCGTGCACACCGTATGGCGTCTCTGGGGATGCGAGTTATCAATAAGAGTAAACGTGGTGCGAAAACGTTCGCGATACGTATTCCGCACAGAACCATTATGTTCGAAATATAATTGCACTATTTGCAAGCGTTGTTCAGGGGTGAGTCTATTCATGATGAATTGCCAATCCAAACTGAGAATAAATCACTGACAGCTCTTAAATCGGTCGCCTTCTTGAACAGTAATGCCAACTTAAAGTTCTATACATCGAAAAAAAACACCCATTATAACCAAGTTCTTCATTAACATTACAGGAAGCTTGCATTCTTCTTCTTTTGACTAAGCAGTTATTTTTTAACCTGTAAGTGCTATAAAATGTTTCTTAACTTGGAATCTCTGCGGAATGCGAGCAGTAGCCTGATTTTGGTTACTTTTTAAAAATACCAACAAAACGACCAACTTTTCCGCTTGTGTACATACGATTTTAATATATAATGACAGTTAACTACGCCAGTTTCCATGATAACAGCTATCATCGCTAATTTGATTTTTGAAACAATAGTTATTGACTTCCTTACATCCAATATTAGATAAAAAACGCGATATTTCAAAGCCTGTCAAAAATAACCCTAACAACTTGCATATATTTTAAATCAGGAGAAAAATTGCAATCAATTGACACATTGAAATACAGGATATTCAATTTAAAAAAAATGGCGACCTGCCAAAATTTGACAGAATAAATTTTTATTTGATATATTTAATTGCAGAATCGGAAGCCTCCAACATAGGTAATTTAGACTTCATTGTAAGATCAATATTAACTAAGTTAATTTATAATGGGACACCCTGTACTATGTTGTAGAAAACCAAATTAAAATATATGTATTACACTACTTACTCATAATCACGGAATCAAGTTGGCAAGCATGTCGAGTGGTGACGTGACAAAAGATTATTGTTTCTCAATTCTTCCACACTAGACAAATGGACTGAAGAATTCTTTTTTACCTTGCACAATGGTAAGCCTATTTGTTTGCTGCGTAATGAATTTATTTCAGTGACGAAAGAATTCAATATGAAGATGCAAATAAGAAAAGACAAAGTTTAGAAGCTTTCGGCAAAATAAGCATGTCGTGAAAGCTGGTTTGTTAGTTAGTGCAAAATTGGTGAAGTCGTTAAAACCGTTTGTTGAAGAAGGATTTATCAAGGAGTGTATGTTAGAAGTTTTGGATAATTTTCCATAGCATTAGACAAGAGCACCGATTTGTCCGAGACGGCTGAATCGGCTATATTTATTCCAGAGGAATTGTTGCCGTTAAAAGGAAGCACTGCAGGGTAGGACATTTTTAATGAAATTTGAAAAGGTATTCAAAAATTTTGCCTTGGTATGGTCAAAATTAATTGGACTATGCAGAGATGGTGCACCGTCTATGGTCGGCTTACGTAAAGGTTACATCGGAATTTTGAATGAAAAAGCAACTGCATAAATATGGAAAAAGATTATTTGATAGTCCTTCACATGCATTATCCAGCAACAGAATTTGTGTTTGCATTCCATTCAACTCCAGAATGTTAAGAATATGGTATTGAAAACTATCAATTTGGTTAATTTCACTTCAAATCACTCCTAAAATCTAAATTTGAAGACGCGACGTGAAGACAGCAGCTAGAAAATTCGCGTTGCGATCAGTTCTTTGCAATGATGACAGGTTGACAGATGATAATTTGGAAAATTCTTTACGTCTTTGTTTCAATAGAATTAACCTAAACATCGATGGATTATTTTCCCAAATTCAAGCTTCGTTGACTTCAGTGTCCCTATTTAACCTATTCGTTTTTAATAATTCGAAATTTCATGATTTAATTATAATGTTGTACCCTTTTTTTAAATTTCATTTTGTTATTTTAATAAATTATTATATATATTATATATTATTATAATAACAGTATCGTATTATTTCATGTGTGATATCTATCGTTAAAAATTATTATTATACACTACTTTAAAACACAAGGTTGCCCCTACTTGATTTCGGCTATTAACGTTGCTTTGAGTAGATAGATTTGGATTGCTTGTATCGCCGTTAAAGGGCCTTTTGGTTAGATAGGTTAATAAAGAGAATAGAATAGAATCCTATTAGACCCTTATTAGGTTATTCCAAAAAAGTGATACCGTTGTATTTATTTTTGGTGAGAAAATAAATTTCATATATAGTGATGACGTAAAACGCCCTCTACCTGCGATACAACCAATCCAAATCAATCCAAGTTTATGTCTGAATGTGTTCCGATACCGTAAGAGATAGAGCAAAAACAATTTCAAAATTCTGTTGCTTTAAGACTTAGCTCTCTGTAAAATAGGATTATCTCAAAAAACGGGATCTAAAAATCAATAACACGATTACGCCATCTGGCGGTCGTGCTAGAAACTTAAAAATAGTCGTACATTGTTTGGGGCAATTTGAGAAAACCTTATTCAGTGTTATTAATTATTGCTTCTTCGAGGCGTCTTCTTCTTAAAACTTTGCTTTATGCAAATTTCTAAAGCACTTTTAAATTTTTTTTTAAGAAACAATATTTTAATCGTGTGGGAAAATTAGTGCCCCGCCTATGGTTAAATTTTGAAAGCTGCCTTACCAATTAACTTGTATCTGTCGCAATTGTCGCCGTCTAATTAATCGGTTTAAATTTGACGGCCCAATTTGAAACCTCGTTAAAGCTTCGGGATCGACGTTGTCAAATGTTTCTAACTTTAACTTACGCCTATCGAAAATTTTTGTTTTGGGATTGCAAGATGCAGTAAACTGGGGTTTTCAAAGAAACTGCTAACAAGTATCACGACTATATGGATCGTTGAAAAACGCTAGGCCTTGAGGCGTCATTTTAATTTAGTAAAAACGCATGTCGTCCAACATCAAACACTCAGAAAATCGCGTTGCACGGAACTCGAAAAATATTCGCATTGTGCGCCTTCAGCAAAGCTACAAAACCAAAAAACATCATCCAATTCAGTGCAGTTCTTCATGAGCTATTGCAAAGAAGCCTGTTTTTATACAGAGTGTCCAAACAGTCAAAGTCAAAGTAATTTATCTCGTTTATTTTCAAATATACAGGGCGATTCATAAATATGTGGGAAATCAAACTTGTATTTTTTAATAGAACACTCTGTATATTATGTCACTAATAGATACCTTCATTTGGGATAGATCTTAACATATTTTGCAACCTCTGTTCTAAAAAGACTTAAGTAAGCTTGTCCATTCACTGTATTTTCAAAAAAATGAGGCCGTACGCCGTCTATTGTTAGCATAATAGTGAAAATTATGTTTATGGAATGTCTATTCATTGTAGATAATACATATTCCAAAACCTTTCTTATGCCCATTCACAAAATGTTTATATAATGTGATAATGATTGTCATCGAGTTCTTGATGAAGTTATACACAATAAGGACGCATCTTAGTTTTTCGCAAAATATTAATTCACAGAACTCTTAGAAATTATTAAGTCTTGGGACATTTGTCTTACACTTACATGTGGGTTCTCTGTAACACTATGTAATACTTGAAATTCATTTTCCTCGTTCACTACAGTCTTACTCTTTCGTTCTTTTCATAAGCAACACTTCCAGTTCGAGTAAAACGATTCATCGAATTCTCAAGAGTTATTTTAAAGGCTTGGAAATTTTCTTAGCGAATAATGCATTCTTCTCGCTAGATCCCAGTACGAAGATCATGTCGACCATTTTTTCCATCGAAAGATTCGTGGTTGAGTTGCAACTAACAATAAATTAATTGAGAAAACTAATACAAAATTGACAGATTTCAAATAATTACTTATTTGCATGGCTAACTTCCATTTGCAGTAAAAGATGCGACTCGACAACATTATTTTATAGTTTTAGAGTTTTGTTTATTTTAGGTATAAGAAAATAAATAATTAATAATAATTAATTAATAGTTAATAACAAATAGAATATATCAGCGACGAATGTAAATATACATATCCGATAATGGCACCGTTTAGCCGATAATTTTAGGCAAGCATCGTTTATTAACGTTAAGAGATCATTTTGGCAGAAGTTAATTGGGAAGAGCCCGTTGTTTAAAGTTCTATAGGATATGCGGGTCTGTGTCGAAGTAGTGGGGGTACTGATTTGGCTTGAAATTGTTAAAAACGATTGAATTTAGCCAATTGGTATTTCAAGGAATTTGATCGACTTTGTGACAATGTCCTAGAAATACTTTTCTTAATATAGTACGATATGGGTTTCGACGGCTGTTTATCGACCAGCTATGGATTTAAAAAGGAAAATGAGTCAATATTTTTGGTTATTTTAATATAGTGACGTCGCACTGGAGTTTTTAACGATCTTAGCCGCGGCAGCAAGAATTTCAAATGTGATCAAATAATAATAATGCGTTTTCTTATTGATTTTCAGCAGATGTCCTTAGCTAGCACGTCGAGCGAACAGTCTCCCGAGTCCCTGTTCGATCTGCAGGACCTGCACGGACAAGCCGCCCTCCATGTGGCCGCCAGATTGGGCCAGGCCCAAGTGGTTAAGGTCAGTAGCCCGAATCACTTCGTCTCGTTTAAAAAAAAAATCACACACACACGCGTTATTCTCACAGAAAATGGCGATTTAGCTTACCACCTCATTAAAATTGTTCTTAGAGGCTCAAAAGTTTGATTTTATATGTTTATCGGAACATTCCCGGATAAAACATGTTCCTATAAATCTGATTATCAGAGGGGAGTGGGTAATTTTTTAAAGAATAAACTTAACTTATAAAGTTTTGGATGTAAAAGATTTTTGCTCAGAAGTGGACTGTGGATTTTGCGCCATCTATACCGACTGCTCTAAATTAAGAATTCATTGTTGGTAACTTTGTTATGAGTAGAGATACAAATTAGGGTTTAGGAAAAAATGTTGATTTTCTACTCTAACGTTCGTAAAATTGAAGATAACCGAATTATCAGCACATTTCTCTTTTGGACCAGATGGCTATGAGTGATTGCAAAATAAAACTTCAATTTCCATTTATTGTTTTTCTTACACCAATTTCCACGTCTTCATTTATTATAAATCTTTTCGGCTCCTTTTTTTTAGCATACACTATTTCATCATTTCTAAATATTCGATAAAGGCGCAGAAGAAATTGTTCAAAGAAGGCCTGGGTCATGTAGAAAACTAGTCAAAAAAATAGTTTTGATGTGTTAATTATTAGCATTGTTATATCAATTGTTAGCAATTATTTAAATTAATTTTAGCGTATCACTTATTCAAAAAAGGTTTTTATGTATGAAGAAAAGGAAGAAATGTTAGAAAGCTATTTGATATACAGTAAATGGTCTGCAAGTGAAGAGAACGATACATAAACGTATATCTACACCGCGTTCCATCACATGAACAATTTTTTCTGCGTCTGTATCAAATCTTTAAAAATAATGAAGCCGTTTTTGTAAAAAGAAGTAGACAATTTTTTTTATTCTAAGTGAAGACGTTAAAATTGGTGATCTTGGTTATTTTGAAGCATATAATTAAGCATTTAATTTTAAATTAATTTAAAGATATTTAATACCGTCCAAATGATTAAAAAAATGTGTTGTTTTAATCATCAATCAGCTCAGGTGTGCTATTGGTAGATATTTTAACATTTGCCGCCATAACATAAAAAAAATTCGGTATAATCCAAAACATCATCACTATTGATCAAGAGAAAATTTATTAATAGCACATGCCCGAGGTCCACAAGTTCATTTCAGCTTTAACGTTGAGTACGATAGAATGGCATGCAGTGTAATGCAATTATTATTGAAATTCTGGATGGTTTTCTAGATGAACTTGACCTCATAAGTAGACAGAATCTCCATTCTCAACAAGATGGCGCACCAACTCATAACTTCCGAGGCAGATATCAGTTTTTGACAACCATTTTCAACAATAAATTCCTTGGCCCCCTAGGTCACCAGATATAACAACTTGATTCCTACTTAAAGGTCTAAATTTATAAGCCCAAGTATCAACACGTTGAAGTTTTAAAGGCTGCAATACAAGAAAAAATAAACCAATTTGATGGGAGAACTATAACTCAAAACAATTCGCTTAATAGAAAAACGTATTGAAGTACGAGGTGCTGTTTTTGGACAACTCTTAAAATAACTTTAATAGTTAATCATAAACTAGTTTTATGTGCCAACCGCTCAGAGCCTCTAGTCTAAAAGAAAAATGTGTTTATGATTTTGGGCTAATATGGCATGTGACTTTTTCTGTTCTGTTTGTGATTTTCGAACATTAAGATAATATGCAAGATGTTCCATTTAAAAAGAGTACACTTTCCGAATATTTTCCTAAACCCTTTTTCTGTTTTTGCCATCGTAATCAGTGGAAAAAATGCTAAGCTACTAGTTTGCTAATATAACCGACTTTGTATGTCTACTCATAACAAAGTTACCAATGATGAACACTAAATTTAGATCAGCCTGTATACCAACCCTTAAAATTTTCCTTTTCTCATTCACTCAGTGGTAATTTTAGAAAATTTATACCTATACTATACTGATTTCTTCTTTTTTACGAGCAAAAGAATAAAAACCAAATTTAATTTTGAAAGCAACAGGTAAGTAGCTAGTACAGGTAAAGTAAATTCTTAAATCGTTCAATTACATGCCGTCAGTAAAGATAGTGAATATGGCGCATCTAAATTAAATTTTAATTTTTATTGCACATGGAGACAAAACGAGAACTAAAAAAAAAATTGTTTTTCTACTCCCGTCTGTAAAATACCTAATTACCCACCGATCTAGCATGCGGGAAGCGTCACTTTACCACGTCAGTTTCGTTTTCCATGAATCCGAGCCACTTCGGACATTTCCGGGATTTGACCGCACGAATTTGGGAGCGATCGGATGTTTTCAGAGATATTTCCCACGCTCTAAATTTTGACGTTTGTCAATTCTGACGGTTATGTCAGTGAATGTATTCGTGTTATTTTGCGAAAATGTAACTAAAAACTAACGGTCGTAGAAAAAGTATAGTATGCAACACGTTCGGTAAGCTTTTTAACTCACTCGTTTATTAAAAACTCGCTCCACTCGTGCCAAATGAACTCGTGAGTCAAATGACGTTTACCGCACTTGTTGCATAAAATACTATTATTATACTATTAACTTGACTGCTTCTAGAGTGCAAGAATATTTAAGAAAAAACTTAAAGACTCAGTAAAACTGTTCCGTTGTTTGACTTCTGAATAGTACTGTATATCATCTTGGTGCCTCGCTAGTGTTATCTGTGCTCTTACTGTCCTGTCGAGTAACTATATTAATATCAATATTTTGGAAAACCAATGTTTGTCATATTAGCATTGGGTCTTTACGTATCTATTTCATTTTTTATTGCTATGTTTGTTTTATTTTAGTTTATTTTATTTTGTTTATTACTATTTTGTTTATGTGAATCTTATTACATATTGGGCGGTTCGTCCGTTGATAAATAAATAAATAAATAAAATGTCCAGGAAGACGAGTGGATCCACCAAATACCATGTGAATGGGTGGGGCATCTTTTTTTTTTCGATTTTCGACTGTTTTTTAGACATTGCTACAGAACACGACCTAGGTGGGTGATTTGAAAGTATTGTTTAAAATTAAAAAAACCTTTTTTTTTTTTCAAAAACTAAAAAATAACCATTTCTCGAAAACCGTTCATCGGATGGAAAAAAACCATGAACGGGAATCGTGATAATTTTTCAAAAATGTACCGGGTGTCTCGATGTTTGCAAAAAACTGAAAATTGAGTTACCCTTGGAAAGAAAATTGACTACAAGTTAAACAATATTATCCAAGTGACGGTTTCTTTCACATATCAGTGCAGACTGTGGAGAAAGCTGAAACTTTTGTATTTAACATTTTCGCATATTAAAGAGAATGTTCGAGATATATCGTATTATATTCAAAAATGCAGCTATTGACTTGAAATTTAGCAGAGTTGTTGAAGTCCCCCCCCCCCCCCCCCATGTAGGTAATAAAAGTTAAATGCAATCATACATCGGCATATATTTTTTAAATATTTTGGAAACAATTTTCGTCGTCACTGTTTATCCGATAGGCAAAATTCTTGAACCAAAAAAGGTGGGAGATTCAGGACTACAACTTTTATTTATTCATGAAGGCATTTTTTCGAATATATACGGGGTTTTTAAATTATGGACCAAAATCTAAAAGAGCTTCAGGGTCTTGAACTTTTTCATAATAAATTATTAGCCGCAAATCAAAATTCGTAGGAAATATGTCTGATTGGCCCAAACAGTGTTGTAGGCCCCATCAAGAGTTACAGTTTTTGTATTTACGGTTTTCAGCTGCTGCTTGAGATATTTATAGAAATCCACGTGAAAATCACTAATTCTCGCGCTCAGTCTAGACGCGATGACGTAATTGACTATTACGGAGTACTGCATGAGGGATCCAGGACTAGAACCTCAACTTCAAACGTTTTTTGAATTATATACAGGGTGTGTTGTTTTTGGGCAAAAAATCCAAAGGATCCTTAAAAATTCTGTTTTTGTAGGTAAAACATTGTTCGTAAATGGAAAACGGTAAAAGATAAGATAATTTGATTTAAGCAGTATAGTAAACTGTGTCGAGAACTACAATTTTCTATTCACAAATTTTCGTCCATCATACAGGGTGCGCGAGATATTTGAAAAAGTATAAATAGAAATCGCTATTACTGGTATATATTTTTATAGTTATCAAAATTTGCCATTATAATAAAACAAAATAAAATGAAATATAAATTTAAAAAAATAAAATGAAAAATAAATGTCAAATGATTGTAGCTCAGTTAGAATGGCGTTCCGAGTATATGTCCATTTGATATTTTTAACTTGAAATCAACCCAGCAACACACTCCCAAACTATGGTAGTCATGTCGTGGGACATCCTGTATATCTTTTTGAAGTAATTAATTTTTACATTTCTGTAAAAACGACAATATGTATGCTTTAAAAAAATCGGTTTAGGACGTTCGATGCTTATTTTTGCAGGTGTTGCTCGAATCCGGTACCAACGCGGACCAAGCGGACGTGGACGGTTGGACGCCTCTTAGAGCCGCGGCTTGGGGCGGCCACACCGAGGTGAGTCCGAGTGTGGAAACTAAAAAAAAAAACTTTCTCTACGAACTTAGTACACTGTAGTATAACATCTGATATTTTTCCAAGCTCATGGAAGTATGCAATTGTTCTCTTCCTGCTAAAAGATCTTCGTCCGGTCAGCATGCTGTGTACTCTATCAAAAATAATAGAAAGGGTCATCGAACATCAGTTTCGAAAATTTTTGGACGACAAAAATACTTCACCTTCAAATCAAAGTGACTTTAGGAAGAAGTTTAGTTGTGAAATGACACTCTTAAATTTGAGATATGTGAAGCAAAAGATCGAATACAACTGACAGCGTTAAAGCGTTAAATATAATAATCATCGTCCGCGTTGTAGAGATATTATATCTGCAGTAGTCCAAGGATTTATATTTATATTTATATTTGTTACGCGTGTAAACTGATCTTAGTTATTAGATATTGCAAACCAGAATATTATGCAGATGTTACTGAATTCAATTTATCTTTTTCACCAGGGAACCATTTATTTGTCATAGATATAATCAACGAAGACATATTTAATATTTAATCTTTGTATTTTAGTATTTAGTATTTAAATTTTGTTTAATTTAATGATCTTTGGAACAAAGAAATTTTTTAAAAAAAAACTCCGCGAACAAGATTTTTCATAAAAAACAGAAATTACCAATTACCGGACAATAACAAAAATACATAAAACAATTAATTTTATAAAAGTAAAACTAAACAAAATAAGCAGAATAGAAAACAAGAAACAAAAGGTGAGAACATATAAGAAAAATAATATTAATACGAGAACAAGACAGCGCGAACTACTTAAACTGTAACTACCTACAGATGGACTTTAACTGTTAGTGATATAGTGCTGGTTGCAAATTCTAATCAGTTTTGGTAAACTATCATTAAAAATATCAAAATATTTACTAATTAAGTTGAAATGCGTGCACATCCGATACAACGGGGACCTACGTAATAAATTTGTTCTGGGAATCCCTAAGCTAAAAGTAAGAATGTGTCTTGCATTAGCTCGCGGAACATCAAAATCAATTTGCGTAAGTAAACTCATCGAGTCAACATTACTATGCCATAACTTATGTAAAAATATTACACTGACTGTAAACCGCCTCTGATCCAAGGCTTGAATATTAAACCTGTCCCGCAAAATACCACCATCAATGCCCCTCCCTGGATAGAAACCATCCACTATAGAAGCAAGAAACTTTATAAATCTCCTTTGAACATACTCAAGTGACCGAAGTTGAGTAAATAGGTGCCCATACTACCGACTGGCTACGTCTGTATACACTACGTCGACTTGAATTTCTTTGTCCAGAGACTCAGCAATATACTGTGTGAGCTCCACCAAGTTGGAAGTTGTGGATCGTCCCTTTCTACAAGCTAGAGACCTTGGATTAACATGTGGCAGCTCTTTGAAATTTGAACCACTTGCGTTTCAACGGCTTGCACAAATCTGAAGCAAAGCAAAGGTACGGCAATATTTAAGTCAATAAAGTTTTAAAAAATGTCTGCGAATCTGTATTATTGTCAAGATTTAACTGAGGGAGTGTTGATTCTTCAGACATACGGAGAATTCAGGTAGTGCAGAATTCATGTCCAAGACTCATTTGTGTTATCAGACGCAGACAACATATTTCTCATAAATTATGTGATGGCAAAATTAAGTGATTGAATATGAAACGGATAAGAATCCTCCATGCGGCATGTGTGTTTTGGTTGGTTTGGTCAGTCTATTTTGCCTCATAATAGCCGCCATAGGTGCAGAAGATCATTTTTGTTGCAAATCGGTAAAGTGGGACTGTTCACTCAAGCAGAAAACGTCACAGTTCAAAAGGGCCTTAACAGACGATATAATTCTTGCTCTTGCAGCGGAGGAAGAATTTTTCCTTAACTGTGCCTTTGACCAGGGATTTTAATTTTGTTAGGCGCCAGTCCTTTTATAACAATGATGGAAGTTGTAAAGAAGGACAAACCCACCTTCCGGTTGTTTTAACCGCGGTAGCTAATGAAGGCAAACTGGAAACGAGAGAAAAACGAGAAAATTAATATAACAAGATTTAATAACAAATGACACCACCCGCAACTGCTTAAACCTCCCCTGATTATGTCGTGTCAGTTGTTTAATTGGGTGCGATTATGCAACTCGGACTGTAGTTTTCGAGACAACCAACCTCGGAGAAAGACAAAACAACAGCAACTAATACCAGGGTGAGGTTTTGAGATGTGCGGGGAGACTTTGGATTAACATTATAGAAAAACTGCATTAATTCTTCATTACAAATTGCAATCTTAAAAGCTAACAAGATTTATAGTAATAGCCTCAAGTTATTAAATTAAATAGAAGTATGATTAACCCAATATTTGAATCTGATGAAAGATATCCAAAGGTATTAATGAAAAAGTAAGAGGGGAGAAAAGAAAATAATAATAATAATTAATAATAATAATAATAATAATAATTAATAATACTAATAACAAAGGTAATAAAAGTTAAAGGGGGTCCACAATAATTCTAGCAATGCACCCGGAAATTATCCTCGTGGTGAATCACAGCAACGGTAAGATATCGTTTTTTCTTGGCTATACTCTAAAATATAAAACTGCAACCGATATGGTAAGTAATGGCTACCTAAGAATTGCAACAGAAAAATGGATTATTTATCAAACTCTGAAAACTATTAATAATAAATAATAAATTAATAATTAATGCATAGAATTACATGCAGGCGTACCCTCTATAAAGCTACCGAATTGCTAATCAAACCTTATTCGAAGAGAACAAGAAAAGAAAAAGCCCTAGCGAAAAACTTCATCCGGTCTCATCGCAACGATCATTCATTCCGTCGATTAGGTTAATTCAGGGAGCGCGGAATAAAAACAATGCCTCGCAAGAGGTTTGACTACGTACCTGATTTCGATGTCCGGATTAAGTGCGTCACAACGAGTGTGACGAACGCAATGCGTTGCGGATTTTAAATATCGATCAACCGAAAATTTTATAATTGACTAACCGTGTGGCGAAATTTATTTCGTTACACAGAACAATGTTTATCAACTATAGAGCAGTAATTAGTATTAAGAAATAAATACATAAAAATAAAACTTCGTACTAAAAATCAAATTTGAATGCTTCAAAAATCAATAAAAGTCCATAATGGAAATCTATTTGTTTAATTCATAATTTTTATATTTTTCCATTTATATCTTCTATTATTTGTTTAAGATATTAGAATTTTCATATTTTCTCCGCTTACTCATAAAACAGGCAACTCTATTCTGTTATTTAGTTTCGCTAGTAAATTAAGTTTTTTGTATTTTGTTAAATTACGCTGGAAAATAGAAAATATTGTGTTATTTATTATTTATTTATATCGAAACATCCCTACGAGATTCTATTGAAAATCGTCCCCTTGAAATTTCCAGGTGGTGGAGATTTTAGTCCAACACGGTTGTTCCTTGGACAGCGTGGACGCGGAGAACAGGACAGCATTGAGGGCGGCTGCGTGGAGCGGCCACGAGGAGATAGTAAGGGTCCTCCTGCAGCACGGCGCCGACGTAAATCTGACCGATCACGAGGTACGCCACACCAAAATATGTTCTTTAATTTAATTCTTGGTAGTGACGCGCTGCGGTCGCGTTTTCATTAGGTTTGTTCCCTCAAAAACGGCAGGTAAAGTCTGTTCATAGATATAAGAAAGTGACTAACTCATACGAATTAAGGAAAGACCCGGGCAAGCTGTAAGAATGAAATATGGCAGAACAGGTCCGTACTTTGCTTAGAAATTAATTATTTGGTATTTTGTTAGGACATATACTAAACAATATTTATTTATTTATTTATGTATTTATGTAAAATTACAAATTATTTTTATTACCTACATAAATGACTTAAAATTATTCACATAATATATCAGTATCACTATCGTTATCATCGCCTGTTCTAATTATTATTTGTTCTATATTATTTGCAATATGGATATACGATTGTTCTGCTTTTTCTATATGTTTAACAGAATTTTCTCAACTTTGTGGAGGGATGTTATAAACTTCGGTTTCTATAAGTTTGGGGACATTGGAATTAACACTGGGAAAAACATTGTTACGACGAATGGCAGATTTCAGTTGGTGCCAAACTTGTTCAATGAGATTAAATATACAGTGGTAAGGTGGAAGACTTAAAACTGTATGCCCTAGATTTTTTGCATAATTATCACAGACATATTCCTTTTGTAGGTTCAAGCTTTGTAGAACCTCAATTAATTCCTTTTTGGTATAATCTTCGTGAAAATAAATGTCGTTATTATACATGTAGTTTTGAATTGTTGCTTTTGTGTCACATGAGAAAGGGGTTTTAGTCAACTCTCTAACTGTGATAACTTCCATTGTCCATTACAATTACGCTATTGGAAGTAGTTTGTTTTTACACCTTTCAAATAAATCAGCGGTGGTGATTTCATGGTAATCTAGAGAAGAATCTTTAATATTTTTCGCAGAGAAAGTTCATTTGGAATCCAACCATCTTTAGAGCCAGCATGCAAAATAGGTATTCTTTTACCTCTTTTTGTTGGCGCGTTTGTTTTACACTTATCAGTTGAGTCAACCCAACCCTTTTCCGGGGTATCATAAGTGTCGAACCAGGATTCAGCCAAGTAAATAATTGGCCTTTGTTGTTCTCTGTAAATTTGCCTTTTGGCAATTTTTTTAAATCTAAAACCCATGTGTTGACACTTTCATAAAGTGGTTCTGCCACATTTAACACCGGTTTCATCTTTTTCAAGCCTCCTAATTAAGATATCTAATATAGGCACAGTTTGTTCCTCGTATAACTGGTAAATTTTACGCCGTATTATGTCTTGATCACTTTCATCTACACTCGAGAAAATGTCAGCATCGCTTCTTTTTTTTCTTCGCTGAAATGGGATTATTCACAATTTTCTATACAGTTGATGTTGGAATTTTCGTCAATGTGGCCGTTTCTTCTAAAGATGCTTGCTTGCTGGCACTACGTTCAATGAGAGTCAAATAAACATTGTTTATAATTTCCTTAGTCTCAATAGAATAGTGTTTTCTACATTTGGGCGGGAGCATCGCCTGAGATACACTAGACTCGCACATATTTTGCATAATTCGCACACGATTCAAAACACGCTGTATTACACACGAAATAAGAATCATTACTAATAAATTTAAACTAAGTAGTATACCAAACCAAAAAATATTAAACACAGGTAGGTATAAAAGTAATTTTCTACTCCCGCCTGTAAAATACCTAATTACCCACCGATTTAGCGTGCGGGAAGCGTCACTTTACCCACGCTTTGAATTTTGACTTTTGTCAATTCTGACAGTCATGCCAGTGAATGTATTCGTGTTGTTTTGCTATAATGTACCCAAAAACTAACGGTCGTAGACAAAGTATAGTATGCAACACGTTCGGTAAGTCTTTTAACTCACTCGTTTATTAAAAACTCGCTCCGCTCGTGTAAAATAAACTCGTGAGTCGAATGCCGGTAACCGCACTTGTTGCATAATGTACTATTTCTATTACGGACCACAATTTTACCTGAATTTAAATTCCGAAACTTTAGGTAATAATCTTGTTGGATTATATGTTAATGACCACCCTTGGATAATCCCATTCAAAAGCAATTGGTCACTTTCTTATATCTATGAACATACCATACCAGTTCAATCGTCACTCATTTACTTATTTCTAACTTGTGTTAAAGATCAGGTTTTCCACCGTTGCCGCAAGTGTGTAGAAACCTTACGCCATCTCTGAATTTATTTATTTAAAAAAGTGTACCTAACAAACACGAGGCGCAATTGACAGGTAGTTTGAAGTACAAAGTATTAAATAGTTACAGTGGCATTGCAAGTAAATTGGTTTGATTTCGAGCAGATCATAGTCACAAGCAGCATTTTCATAACTTACCGGACTGAAATCTACATTAAAGCTGCAGATAACTACTTAAATACCCACTTTCTTGGATTGATGGTAGGTTTCGCATCTAAAACTGCATTTTTTGTTGGAAACAGTTACCTATTCATGTCAGTATCGTTCAAATACCAATCAAAATCGGCATATTCGGCCTTTATTGTAACGAACACGTTAATAAACCAGAAGATATCTACGTTAAACCGCCCTTTCTGGGTCAAATAGTTACCCCTCTTTCTTGGACAAATAATTTTTTTTCCATCTTGATTTCGACCAGATTATAGTCAAAACCAGCATTTTCATAACTTAGCGGACTGAAATCTACATTAAAGCTGCAGATAACTACTTAAATACCCACTTTCTTGAATTGAGACTAGGTTTTTCATCTTCATTTCAAATAGATTCCAGTCAAAATCGGCTCTTCCGACGAACATATCGTATCTAAAACTGCAGATATCAGCTTAGACAATCATTTTTCGATCCAAACAGTTACCTTTTCATGTCAATATCGTTGAAACACTAGTCCGAATCGGCCTGTTCGGCCTCTATTTTAACGAAAACGTTAATAAACCAGTAGATATCGACGTAAAACCACCCTTTCTGGGTCAAATAGTTGCCGATTTGTATTAAATTTTAGTCAGAATCTGCTTTTTCGCCCCTTATTTTACCGAAATCTAAAACCTCTCTTTCTGGCACAAATAATTGGTTTTGCCTCTTGGTTTTGGGCAAATCATAGTGAAAGCCTAACTACCGGACTAAATCTACTTTAAAGCTGCAGATACCTACTTGAAAACGCGCTTTCTTGGACTGATAGTAAGTTTTTCTTCTTCATTTCAAACAGATTCCAGTCACATCTAAAACCGCATCAAAATTGCATATCATTTTTTGATCCAAACAGAGTTTCATGTCAATATGAAACTTAGCCTATAGTCTAGCCTAACTTAAATATTAACTCTACTTTAACAAAATAAGAAGGAAATAGGAAAATACTGAAATTAATAATTATAGTTAGTGGGGCGATAACGTTTTTACCATAGTAATAAATTGCGAAAAGATAGACCAAATCGGGTAGAACACTGTTCTTGGGGCGCATTAAAAATTTAAAACATTTTTTTTTTGCTCTATGAGATAATGTGTCTGGAGTTAATACGGGGAACCGGAAAATTTTGTCCATATAATAAATAATTAGATAATAGTAATCAAAACGATCACTGAGAGACATAATCAAATCTATTTAATAATATTTTATGCGAAAGCCTTGTGTGGGATATACTCCATCCAACTTATACCATGCATACTTTGTACCCAGGAGACCAAACTTCTGATTTTTATCACTTCTGTATTTTTAAAGTTTCTAGTGCAACAACGTACGATAAATTCATAGTTTTTTGAGGCTTCTGCCTGTACCTTATTAACACGAGGAACAAATTATAATTTCAAGTCGCAAAAAATGTTAGAACGGGAAAAACTTTTATCAAAAAGATAATAGTCAGATTTTACAGCTACACTCATGTCTACATTTTGCTGTATTAAGTTGCAAGTTATTTAGGGACCAATTGTTGATTTTCTCCAAACTGCGCTGGAGAGTAAGACAATCCTTTGAACACCGTTTTTTTTTTAGTTCTACGTCGTCCACATATATCAAAAAACTGACATCATTATCATTAATGAAAATGTTGAATAAAAATGCCCCCAATGTATTCATCGGAAGTGTAACCATAAAGATAGACGTACATAGTGCGCTCAGACAAATATCAAGAAACGAAATTAACAAGCGATTCGGAAAATCCAAAAGTACAAAATTTTTAGAATAGAATTTTGCGATCCAGGCGATGAACCGCTTTTGAAAAATCAATATATATCACGTCCACTTGAGAACTTTCCTTCATTAATAACCTCAGAAATATATACATAGTCGTTAAATTGGTAATGGTAATTGATAAAAAGTCCATGTTGTTGGGGGACTATTTGGTTCTTAACAACAAAAAATATTTTTTATCCTGTTTAAGAGATTCTAATACTTTACAAAAATTCGAGATCAGGGAAGTATCCGTATGGTTTGTGATATTTATTATTATATTATTAGTTTAGACATTTTCCATATACCAGTAACGGCTTGGATTCTCAGACACAGACTAAAAGGTATTACGAGCGTCTTAGTTAGAACAAAACGATAGTCATATATAAGGAATGTTGGGATTAAACCTGCACCCATTGTAAATCTCGGATTTATTACTGTGGAATTTGACTTTGTTACCGTCTAGTTGTCATGTGCATTAATGACCTCAATTCTTACCAAAAAACTTAGCTTACATTCGGAATCTCTTTGGAAGTGCCCTTAAATATCGAAGAATTTTTTAGTAAGTTGTGATTGTATAAAATAGTAAATTCCATTCAAGTGTTCCTTTTTGTCCTGTTTATATGGGCCCTACTGATAACGATCAACCATCTTCTAAATTTGTTACAATTCTTAGATTCACACAATTATTTTTTTTAAGTTTATTTAAAAGTTAAAGGTTATTTTTTATTTAAAAAAAAAGGAAATAGCAAAAAAAACTGACAAACCTAAATAATTATGATTAACTATTAAAGTTATTTTTAGAGGTGTTTAAAAACATCACCTCGTGCTTGAACACATTGTTGAGCGCGTTTTTATATTGAGCGATACACCCTAACATACGTTTTACCATTGAATTAGAAACTAATAATAACATGAAATTTTTAGATATTCTTATCAATAGAAAATCAGTCCTAACATTGGGTCATTGTGTTTACAGAAAACCTACGCACACAGACCGATACCTTAATGCATGGTCACATCACCATCCGGCCCAAAAATCACCGGTTATCAACTCTCTTGTTTACAGAGCCGTAAAACTATCTCAGTCAGAGTCACTGAAAATAAAATTAAAACACCTCAACTCTGCTATTATCTCTAATAATTTTCACATTAAAGAGATTAAGGGTTCCATCAAAAAATACACTTCACCACAACCTTCCAATAGCAATGAGGCCCAAAGCAATCCTACACTTGCCGCTGTGCTCCTTCTTTATATTCAAAATATCACTGACCACATATCAAAAGTTTTAAAGAAGTATAACGTCAAAAACAGATTTACCACTTGTCCAAAAATCTCTCAACATCTGCAGTCCCTCAAAAACAAAATTCCATTTGAGATGCCAGGAGTTTACAGCATTCCATTCAAATACGGCAAAGTCTTGCATGTAATCGGTTCTTCTACCAACGAATAGAAATTTATAAACAACCTAACAATCTTAGCCGCTGCTCAGGTCTCTACCTGTCACCAATTTGGGAATCAGTCATCTGAGACGGTATTAGCGCCCCTCCTCAAACAATATATAGCAGGTACAGAGTAAAATACGAGCCAGTTTTAGTCAAGCTCTGAAGAAGCCAAAAGGATGATCGGTGAAACGTCAGCAATTTCGGCTCAGCAAAAACCGACGCAGGAGGAATCCAAAGGCTTTTTAAAAGTATAATATTTTAAATCTTCATGAGAGTCCAAGAAACTTTTATACGAAACTTTTTTTCGTATCTCGTATGGGTTTCCAGATCGTGTAGTGGATCGTTTTATTTGGCAAACCGTGTGTACCTAATTTCTATCAGCCGTTATACGAATGTGCTGGCAAACAAAAATTCATTTTTATATGAATCTTGCAGGGCAGAACGGCCCTCATAGCAGCCGCTTACATGGGCCACAGCGAGATAGTCGAGCACTTGCTGAATTTCGGAGCTGACATCAACCACGCAGACGCCGACGGCAGGACCGCCCTTTCGGTGGCGGCTCTTTGCGCCCCCAGAACCCCCGGCGTGAGTGTGGTGTCCACGTTGCTCGAGCGAGGCGCCAGCGTCGACCACAAAGACAAGGAGGGCATGACACCGCTCCTCGTAGCCGCGTTCGAAGGTCACAGGTTCGTTTATCGGCCGATCTTATCTAAATGGAACCTCCATTATCTAAAGTAAAAAGCCCTAGGACCGGTCAAAATCCAAGACAACGCAAGCTAAGCTAAAAACTCGGATAATTACACACGCCAACGGAGACCTTGTGATTTGGTATTTCCAACGGAGACCTTGTGATTTGGTATTTTTCACATTTTTTTACTAAACTAATAGAAAAACAATGTTCTTTTTTTGTTTCTATCGCGCCACATTTTTGATTTAATTTTTGAGATGTGCATTGTGCAGTTAAATTTGTTTTTAAAATGCCAGAAATGTATAATAACAATGTTTCAGATACTTTTTGCTATATGTTTGGTTCTTTTGTGATCAAGAAATTTAGACGTAAAAATCGCACCCCTGTTTGAAAATCAATACTACGAATTATTTTCAAGTAAGAATTCGTGATCAAGACAAATCGTGGGCGCCCATATTTTCTATAAAGTAGGTTTAAGGAATTGGAATAATGGAAGCAAGCGATGCCTACTTTTTGGAATACCTATGACAAATCACCAGGGTGCTATTAGTACATATGCCAGATGTCACAATACCTTAGAATCCAGCCAATTTAAAAGAAGATACCAACAATTTTTCTGAACCGGAAATAGATGAAGATGTCCTTAGTGATGTTGGTGATATATGGAGTGTTTCTCAGAAATCCACTTATTTTCACATTCAGAACTTAGAGACTTAAGTCTAACTAAGGAGCTTTTCGAAAATTTAGCGTCTATACTTCGATATAATATTTTACCGACACAAGACGTTATAATCCTTAAAACCTTAAAGTTGTACTTTTGCACAATAGAAATGTTCTTGCGTCTGTACCTGTTGCTGATTCTGTGCAAACGAAAGAATGCTACTGCTTGATAAAATCAAGGGAGGAATTTTTGTAGATCTTCAAATACGGCGATTGATGTGAATGTAAATGAATCACAGATCTAAAAATTTAAAAAAATGAATACAAAAATGGGGTTCACTTTTAAGCAATGAAATGAATACCCAGATGCTGGTTTTAAATTTTGGTATATAATAGGATTACTTTAACTAATCCCGTTTGCAATACATCATTCTATAGATTCTATAGACCAGACCTTAGACAGATAATAATGTGCAGGAGAGACATTTTCTTCAATTTTGATGACTTTTTTATGTTTTTGCCTACAAAATCAGAAAAGAACCTGCTTGAGTCAATACAAAGCGTTGAAATCATTGGATTGCCATTTTCAATGGACGACAAAGTAAAAAAAAGTATAAACTGTCTAATATATCTGTGGGGTCCCAATTTTACTGCGAATTGTGAATACCATGATCGAATCAGAAAAGGTTGCGATGGATTTCACTAACTGATGTCATAAAAGGATTTCTAGGAAACAACAAATATCCATATCGCAAAGACATTGTACATATGAGCATAAATATTACACTTTTTACACTCACATCTGGACTACTTTCCCGAAAATTTTGATACCTTCAGTAAAGAACGAGGTAAAAACTTCCATCAAGATATAAAAGCAATGGCACCCAGATATCAAAATCCCTGGAACGTCCTGTTTGTTTGTTGTTTATTTAGTTGGCAACACTTTTTTAACTGGCTGCCATTTTATCAGCTCTCAAGTGATTTCATTATGAACACACTGATGCCTAAACAAAACTTTCAAATTGTGAAAATTTATTTTGGAAGTCATAACAACATAGTCAATACGTCAATAAACAGAACTGCCGTATTTGGAGTAATGATAATCCTCAAGTGTATGAGTCACCGTTACATCCAGAAAAACTAACTGTTTGGTATATATATATATATATATATATATATATATATATATATATATATATATATATATATATATATATATATATATATATATATATATATATATATATATATATATATATATATATATATATATATATATATATATATATATATATATATATATATATATATATATATATATATATATATATATATATATATATATATATATATATATATATATATATATATATATATATATATATATATATATATATGATGACACTATATTCCGGGATATCATCCGTTCGCTCGTTGAACTCCGACTGGAATCCTGCAAATCCTGCATCCGACTGGAATCCTGCAGACGTTTCGCCAAAATCTCACTTGGCATCTTCAATGCTCGCGCTCCGAAAACACTTCGAACACTGCAGGATTCCAGTCGGATGCAGGATTCCAGTCGGAGTTCAACGAGCGAACGGATGATATCCCGGAATATAGTGTCATCACATTTTTCCATCCGTGAATCAATACGTGAGAATATATATATATATATATATATATATATATATATATATATATATATATATATATATATATATATATATATATATATATATATATATATATATATATATATATATATATATATATATATATATATATATATATATAATAAATCTTTGTTTTATTCCATTAAAAAAAAACACCGGTTACAAGAAAATCCACTAAAGGAGGGAGAAATCTTCCAAACATAAGTGGACTTAACTGCTGCGTGAGGCTTTGTTATTTAATTTAGATATTTTTAATTAGGTTTTGATTTTTGTACTAACAAAAATAATGTTTAAATCAAGAGATTTTATTTTATTAATTCTTTTAATATGAAAAACCTTACTTGATAGAGGAAATGCTTATATTGGAAGGCCTAAATTATACAGAACCAAATATCAGATCAAAATCAACTTTCAAAAGTTTTAAAATTGTTGGTCTGTGTCACGATGGGAGACCACCGATAGCTCTTACAAATACTAATTGTAGAGTCGATGATTTTGCGGATAAGTTTGATATCTCTCGAATTTCTTCTGGACCGTTTAGATAGAGGGGTTTCCATCTAACAGTGCCTGCATACATGTTGTATTTTAATTCGCAATAAGCACGTTCTTAGGGACGTTTGCGAGTTGTTGCTGGAGAACGAGGCAGACGTAGACCATTGCGACAACAGCGGTCGCAGTCCGTTGTGGGCGGCGGCCAGCATGGGTCATGCCCCCGTCGTCGCTCTCTTGCTCTTCTGGGGCTGTTGCATCGACTCGATGGACTCAGAGGGCCGGACCGTTTTGTCCGTTGCCGCTGCTCAGGGTAAATACTCTTGAAAATCTATAGTCGATGCGATTTGCGATGGCACAGTCGGTCAAAAAAACTAGAGACTAGGTGCCTCAGTACTTTACCTGTTTCCACTCGTCTACTAACCTTCCCTATCAGTGTTCTAGCTTTATCTATTACTCCACGGTGTCGTATTCTCGACAGAGATAGCACCAATAACGGGATAATTACAGTACAGTACGAAATGCCGTTTTAAATTGTCATGGATACTAATAATAATAATAAATTTTTTTAGCACCTGGCTATTTACATTAGCAATTAAAATTTACATAAACAAACTATGAACTTCGCAAAACCCCGTAAGCTTCTCCTTGAATACTCTTAGGCAAGACGCGTTTTTAATATTATCCGGCAGTTCATTAAAATTACAAACACCGTCGTAGAATTGGGTGTTCTGTAAATTTGTAGTTTTTACCATGGAAACAGTGAAGTGCACTTTTTTCCAATCATAATTTGACATGGCCAGGTTGGTGCGCAATTCCACAAACCAACATTAAACTTGATCTTCTAATGAACTGCCCGACATTTTGCCAATTTAGCTGGTCTAACATACTCTTTATAGGAGTATATTTATCACAGTTCAGTATGATTCTGATAATAATCTTCTTTTGTATAATAAAATTTATACTATTATACACTAGTATTTTAGTTCACTTTGTTGAAAACCGCGATACACGGTTAAAAACCCTATTTTCTTACCAATCCTTCTGCGTACATATTCAACATGATTACTGAAACATAATTGTAGATCTAAGATCTCTCACAAATATTAAATTTCGGAAACAAACTCAATTTTATTAACCTGTGTATCCACCGAATACTTATAGATTTTTTGACAGTTAACGTTAGAACGGTTAACCATGCATTTTGTTTTGGAGTTATTTAATTTCAGTTTATTTTGGCACAGGCCCAACAGGCTTCCCTGCGGTACACCATATCCATCCCTATTAATTACATTATTATTAATTTTAGTCCGGTGAGATCTATCACATAAAAAGTTCTTTATCCATTCTAGTGCAGAATCCTTAATACCTTATAATAAGAATGTCATGTTCCTGTCAATAGTCCTAAATGCACGTTTTAAATCTACAAACACAATCACAGTTAGTTTTGATCCGTTCATGTCTTTCCGCCAGATTGCACACATATACTGCCACCCAGATTCGCACGAGTGTTTGCTCCTGAAACCAGACTGTCCACCGTAGAGCAGGTAGTATGTTCTAGGTAGTCTCTCTCAACTGCCCACATATGATTTTATCCACTATGGGTAGCAAGTTAACTAATTGAAAATCGCCCTGTTAACCTATTACACAAAATAAATCTTTTAGGAGCTTAATATTTAGAACAGAGCCACTTGTTCTTATATTTTTTAAGTTATTTACATTTTTTTAAGTTCCGATATACTTATTTTTTTAAAACAAGATAAATTACGACTGACCATGTCACACAGTGTTCCATTGCGTCTCTTCTACACTTTCTGCTATTTCATTTAAGCTATCGGCATAAAAGTTATTCATGTTTACTTCTTCTTTATCACTGTATTGTGCAAAATGAATATTTGTAAAATCTGCTTTTTTATTCTTATTTCTAACAAATCCTTTTAATGTCTGGCACATTTTTTCCCATTTTCCCTTGCAATCGTTTTGTGATGGCATAGTCGGCAATAAAGTACCAGACATAATAATATAGATTGTTCATCTTTTACTTCACCAGACGTTGATCTGCCGTAAATGTCTTTCTGGTCAATGCAAGAGAGCCGTTTCTAACGATCACGAATAAGGGAGACAGAATCAGTTGTACTTGACATTTATTAATTTAACTAGTACGTCCATACACAGAGATGTTACTTAATGATTTGCGAATATTTAAGGAGGTGAATCTACATGAAAAAATTGTGATAATTTGTTAAAATAAACTATTGTCTTAAAAACGTCCATGCAATAAAAAATAAAATAGTTCCCAAAAAATCGAAAAATTTAAAAAATATATATTATACCGTATAAAATATATTTTGCCAAGGGGAAATATACAAGTAAACAATATTTAGTTTGTATTTATTTACCAGAAGGAAGCAGGAAGCAATCTTAAAACTTGATGACTCATTTCAGCAATTGTTTCGTCCGTAGCATACGGCAAGTTTGTTTTGTAATTTTTGATAAATTTTAGCAATTCACATTTTAGACCATTTTCTGAGTAATTAATCCGCTTACTGAGTAGCCAATTGATAATTTCTTCTTTTCTTGTCGATGCATTTAAATTAAAGACGGTCTTCGGAGTTTCGGCACCGTTTTTTGAAAAATGCGATCCTATTTTGTAGTGGAAACCACTCTAATTATCCGGTAATTAATTATCTCTGTCCATTGTACGGCACTGGCAGGTAAATGGGTGGCTTTTGCCATCACAAATCTCTTCTACTATAGTTTGCTAATTTAACCGACTTTGTATCTCTTCTCATAACAAAGTTACCAATGATGAACAATTAATTTAGAACAGTTTGTATATTTATAATAATAATAATAATTATTATTATTATCAGAAAAGGTTTCAATTTGAAGAATACGAATGCGAATAGATTTTTTTTTTTAAATTGCTTTTGAAGATGGGGCCGAATAGTGCCATTTTTAATTGTCTACCCGTTGCAGGTTGCGTCGAAGTCGTCAGGCAATTACTGGACAGGGGCTTGGACGAGCAGCACAGGGACAACTCCGGCTGGACGCCGCTGCATTACGCGGCGTTCGAAGGTCACCAGGACGTGTGCGAAGCCCTGCTGGAGTCGGGAGCGCGCGTCGACGAAACCGACAATGAGGGCAAGGCGCCTCTCGCTTTGGCCGCCCAGGGCGGCCACACCTCCCTCGTCGACATGTTCATCGAGAAGTACAACGCGCCAGTCGACCAGAGACCTCACGATGGCAAAACCGCCCTCAGGTTGGCCGCGTTGGAGGGCCACTACGAAGTCGTCCAGATTTTGATATCCCGCGAAGCCGACGTGGACTCGAAAGACTCGGACGGGCGGAGCACCCTATACGTGCTCTCCTTAGACAACCGGTTGGCCATGTCGAAGTACTTTTTACAACACGGGGCGGACGTGGAGACCAGAGATTCCGAGGTTAGTCCGAGCATACGGACCAAACCCAATTAACATTTTTTGTTATCTAATGGTTTCTAATTATAATGATTCCTCCTGGGTCGGTTGTTGTTGAATGGAACTTGCTGACGTTTCGCCAATCACCCAGTTGGCTTCTTCAGAGCTAAACTGAAACTAGCTCGCATTCTGCTTTGTACCTGCTTAAATGTTGGTTGAAGGGGTTGATTTCCATCTTAGTGAAAGGTAAAGACCTGAGTCGCAAATAAGAGGACATCAATCACGAAAGCAGAAAATTAGAAGATAATAATAATAAAGGTCTTAATTTACATCAATCAACAAGTCAATAATAAACAAAAAACAAATCAATTAACCTGAGAACTTCAGGCGTAAGAAATGCAGAGAGCAGATGTGATAATTAAGAAAAAGCATCATATACAATGTAATCTTTAATCTTTCAGGAAGGAACACTAACTGTTGGACAGTATCGTTTATTTGAATTACAAATCTATTTTATCTATTATTAACTGGCGAACACTATTATTCAAAAAGATATAGAAAAAGTGGTTTATTTGTTTTTGATAAAGTTATATTTAATTTACTTGGTATGTCATTAAGAAATGTGTGTTATTACATAATATTGATAGTGTTCGCGTTACTTTTAAATTTAATTTTTTCATATAAGTTAGAAAGAGATATATATATATCTTCCATTTTGCTTCTTTAGCCATCTCACGATTTGAAGAGTGTGACTTATATACTCAAAATTTCTAACAGCCTACAACAGCAGTTTTGTAATTTTTGAATATGAAAAAATCAATGTGAATCAAACATGGATGAAAGATAACATCACAGAAACTTAGCTGTGATTACACTAATGACTACTTTTGTTTTTTTTTATTTAAATAATCCTTGTTTTCGTAAATAATCTTTAAATTGAAGTAAACTTTTTGAAGGCATTTAGATATGTGATTTGCAAACTTCAATTTACTGTCCAACAATGGGCCTAAGTTGTTTAGAATTTCATTATTATACTGAATTACTTTGTCATTTATAAGATATACCATAGATCACCAACTCAAACTGATAAAATTACTCCGTATGTTGACCTTTTTGTTACGTGGTAGAGCCTATAACTTTATCCATAATTTTCTTGCTTCATCATACCCGTATAGAAATAGACCAAATCAAAAAACTCTTCTTTAAACATCTTGAAATTGCTTCCATCTTCCATAATTCATGACAAAGCTGAAAATCTTCGTTTAGCTTCTACCCAGAATCGCATTCAAAAATTTGAAAAACTAACGCCAACGCTAGTAAAACCATCAACCTCTTGTCAACTACCAAACACTGTGATAAATGTATCATAGTCTCAACTTTTTGAGGCTGAAACATCAGTTCTTGCAAAACTTTGCAGTTAGACCCTATGTTATCCCAAAAGAGGACATCATTTTAAATGTCAAGTCTATCCTAAACAAACTTCCATCGGCTAATGAACATCTGATTTGAAACCTCAAAAATATTCCAAAGCTTGAACGCATTGCTCTAAAATCTCTACAATGTAATCCCGACGTCGTAATTCTAAATGCAAATAAAGTAAATGCCACGGTGGTCATGAACACAAATGAATATCAGGAAAAGATTCAAGATATTCTTACAGATGGATTCTATCTCCTACGTTATCTATGGAACCTTAAATCTGTTATTAAGGCTTCTTCTCTATTAGAATCCGTGAAAAAGTCTGTCATCCCTCATGGCTTTAAAATTTCTCGTCTCTACGGACTCCCTAAGAATCACAAACCAGGAGTTGCCCTTCGACTTTGTCAACACCATTCGTACTAAGTGTAGGTATAGAGTATACGGAATAAGAGTAGATAATGGAAGTATACAGGGTGTTTTATTTTCCCTGTATAAACGATTCGAACTAACTTCAAGACGGGATAACTATGACTATATTATTTTATAAAATTGCTGGCATAATAAAATTGCAGCTGTCGGAAATGGCGTCAAAAATATAGATTGTTAGACGTAGTCCATTTTGACGAAAAAATAGCAATAAATCCGAAAATACTCGGTATAGACCATAGACCATAAAAAGGGAGTATCCACTAATGTTTCTTTTAGTCTTAATCTTTAATCTTTTGCATGTAATATGTTTAACATAACATAACATAATTGAGATATATTACTTTGACACACTATTTGAACACTCTGTATATTGATTGATGGAAGCTCCTTTGAAAGATTAAAAGTTTTTTTTTCTCTAAAACTTATAAAGTAACAAAAAAATATTCGAGGGAGTGTGTAATTGGCCATTGACGATGGCTTTTGCGGTAGGGTCGCACACCGCTCCACGTGTCCGCGTGGCAAGGCCACACGGAGATGGTCTCGCTGTTGCTCGACTACGGCAAAGCGCAAGTGGACGCGGTCGATTTGGAAAATCGGACCGCGCTCCATTCGGCCAGCTGGCAGGGACACAGCGACATCGTCAAGATCCTGTTGGAACACGGCGCGATGCCCGACCACACCTGCAATCAGGGCGCCACCGCGCTAGGTAGGTAACCCCCTTCGATACGTACAGGGTGGTCCAGTTAAGATGCCCCTATACCTTATTTCAATAAGTACGACACTGAGGAAAACAAGTTAAATACAAACAGCGTTTGACTGTAAGTATATATTTTATTTATAGAATTTTTATGTACCGTGCGTTCAATTTATCTTGTTGACATTTTAATTGGCTGTAACTTTTTTGTCTTTAGAGATAGCAAGGTAAACAAAAAAACAAAATATAGGGTTAGTGCCCAAGTTTTTTTCCAGGTGACGTATAAATATCTTATTCCGATTGCAATGATGTAGCACACCTTATATTTTAGTCCACTCGTTTTTGACAAATCGGCAAAAATAGGAAATATTTATATAATTTGAAAAGACGAATAAAAATATGTTGATGGTTGAATTATTGTCCAAGTCATTATTGTTAACATGGTTTTTCTCGTATTTGCCATCCGTATGCTTCAAGCATACTTTCTGAATAATAAAAGTGCAACCGCAGGTCATCATCCGTATATTATTTTATCCAGAGCGCCGAGCTCCTTCAAAACAGATATTTCCAAAGCAATTTTCAGAAAACAGTAACGTATTAAATGCTGGAATCATAATGTTTTAAATGACAAAATTAAGGCAAACATATTAGGATTCCATGAAACACATCCAGTTTCCTCTATTGCTAGAGTATATAGAGGCAGGTATTTCTCGGGGATCAATGCACTCAGTTTTGAAAGAACACAAATATAATGCATTTAAATTTCGTAAAACACAAAAACTAAGTGCAGAACAATATCAAAGGAGGATACAATTTTGTTTGGATTTTTTAAATAGACATAATGAGAATAATAATTTTTTGAAAAACATTTTATGGACCGATAAAAGTTCGTTCACTACAAGGAAGCATTGTAATAGGCAAAATACGTAATATTGATCTTTAAATAATCGTAGACAAATACACGAAATAAAAACCCAGGGGTACCAATCAATTAATGTATGGTATGGTGTATGAGGTGGGCATATTTTGGGTCCGATATTTATATATAAAAATTAACTGGAAATCATTATTAGCACATCTTAGAGTACCAAATAGAACAATATATAGAAGATTTACCCCTAAAAATATCAGCGCTAATTATATGGCAACAAGACGGTGCCCCTCCTCACATTGATGGGCAAGTTGAAAATGTTCTTAAAAAATATGATATAGGTTTATATGTCAGAAAATTGATAGTGTTTTGTTTTTTACGTCACTTGGAAAAGAACTTGGCTACTAACCATACATTTTGCTTTTTTGTTTACCTTGATATCTCTAAAAACAAAAAAGTTATAGTCACAGGGTGTTCCGCTGTGCCAGGACAGTAACCAACTTTATTATTTTAAATGTAATGCCATGAATATTTTTACAGATTCTAATTATTCGCTTGATTTTGAGTTTTTTTTTAATTTTAAGTAGTTTTTGAGAATAGTGAACTTTTCCGTTTTTTGTGGAAAAACGGGTCTTTGGAAAAATGTGTTTTTTTTTGCACTTGAAAACTAAAATTGGGAATTATTATTATGGTTCCATGGAAGTTGTTTATATTTAGTGCTTTGACCTATCTAACACAAAAGACCATAAAAAAATGTTTGTTCTAATTAAAAATACTTAATTTTTTAAAGGGAACTCCCTTTATTGGGTTCAAGATTTAATTCTGCATCATTTCATATATAGCTTTTATTTCAAAAATTTGGCCGTTTTCGTAATCTAACTTTTTTTTAATTAAAACATTTATTGCATAAATTCAATATAAAATAAACAAGTAATGCAAGTAAACAGAACTTATTACTATTTATGAAATGTTTTCAAGCCCCATTAAACATGTAATATGGTTTCAATTACCGCAATACCGTTCCTAATCGCGTCTTATTTTTATAATATATCCATGGAAATAAAAAAATTAATTAAATTGTTGCCTGGAGAGAAATATATAGTTTTGGTTTGATGTTTAGTTTGTCACCAACTTTTTTTTGCAGCATTCAAGAGCATTTAATTCTTCATGAATGTTACTTAAGATATAATAAGTGTCCTGTAGTTATACACGAAACATATTTTTTCTAAAATTGTTCGTGATCTCAAACGTGAAGTGGTAGTCGATAATCGAAAACGCCGTCCAAAAATTGTCCTAACAGAAGAGAAGCAATTAGAAGTATTTTGAAGAAAACAATGAAAATTCACATCCCGAGATCTGCCGGATATTAGTAAGAAGTCTTCGAAGGAAATTTAATAACTACCATCCATTCAAATTTTTGCCAGTCCAGAAATGACCCAACAGGACTTTACAGTACTGGTGTTTTTGTGTGGTGTGGCATTATACCTGATCGAATAATAGGCCCAGTATTCTACGACATTGTTCTAAATGATGAGAGATATTTACATTTATTAGAGAACTACATATTTCCATTGACTCATTAAACAAGACGGTGGCCAATGGGAGCACTGGCTTGACGATTTCCTTCTCGTCTCGGGTGTACCCCTTAGATGTCTAGAACGTTCATTTTCATCTCAGTTTGTTTTACAATAATATCGTAGCACCGTATTTTTTCTTGAAGGATTTTAAATTGTTCGTAAATATTTGGATGCGCTTTTCCAACATGGTTGTTAAGCCGATGATGGCATCCTTCTACCGTATTTTTTGTGCGGTGTCGCACCTAGTAGCACCCCAAATGAATTAATGATATGGACATCATCCACGACGGTTTGGCATCACCAATAATTGCTTAGAATCACGGTAGACGTAATTTATTGTTATTATAATAAAGTCTTTATTAATTAACTACCCTAATCGAATTATTTTCCTACGCACGAAGCGAGAGGAGTAATTTCTGTCATTTTTAATGCAGCTAGTTTTTGAATTCCGCATGAAACGCAACGCCGTAAACAAGAAAACATCGGGTTGACACCCCTGGACTTTTTTTATGGGGCTACATTTTTAACGAAGTGTATAAAAATAGGTGTAATTGAAGACTTAAAAATGAGAATTCTTCAAAAAACTTAGTTAAAATTGGATATTATATGTTATGTGGAAATAGTGGTGGGGCTACAATAAGTTTCACCTGTTCCCAAATATCTTAGAATTATCGAAAGTTTACTTTCTGCACTTCTCAAATCGCGAAAATTTGTGTTCATTTTCTCTATCTGGGCCTTCACAAGATTCAGCATTTTATTTAACCAAACTAACCCAAACTTATCCCTTGCCTTGCCTAAGTGTCTTTAATGGCATTACAACTTGTTATGCAGTTGCTTTTAAATAATAGATTTCATATTATATAGTTATATTTAAAATGTAATACACGACGTGTTGTAAAAAATTATCCATAACTTCTTAACTACCAATTTTTCAAATAAAACTGTATGTATGAAATGATACAGAATTAAATCCCAAACATGGATTTTTTAACTAGAAAAATTTTTTTATTATCATTTGTGTCCACCGTGTAATAATAAAAATTCCCAATTTTAGGTTTCAAGTGTAAAAAAAACACATTTTTCCAAAGACCTGTTTTTCCGCAACAAAAAGGATTTTTTTTTTCTCAAAAACTACTCTAAATTTCGTAGGGCAAGTAATGAGAAGCAATACTCAAAAATAAAGCGAATAATTGGAATTTTTAAAAATATTCTATATAAAAAAATAAAATTTGTTACTCTTCTCGCACAATGTATACATAAAAATACTATAAATATACTTTTTGTATTTAACTTTTTTCCTCGATGTTGTACTTATTGAAATAAGGTATAGTAGCCTCTAAAATGGACCGCCCTGTATACCCTTGATGGTGTTTCCGGGCTCTGTCCAACCCCCGTCACGCCAGCCACCCGGTATTTAAAAATAAACGAACGCGTTAAACCACAGGATCAGTTTTCTGCAATGTTTCGCGAAGCGAGGCGTGACCTCCTGTTGATATTATTTTCTCTTTATCAGATTCGGCATTTAATTGTATGGTTTAGGGGTTGTTTCATGTAATTGTATGGTGAATTCAAAATTCGTCGGCCAAAAGTGCCATATGAGATGCTTAGGTTTTTTAGTCCGCCCTGTCGATATAAAATAACAAATGGCAACATCATTATCTTATATTTTATTACATCTTTTATGTTGTTTTTTTAAAAAATAATACTTTTTCTCAAACAATATTCATATATTTAATTTTTGTAAATTCAAGACGAATCCAACGATATATGTCAAAATTGACCTGCGATGCACCATTATGAATTTCCAAATTTTGTGTAAGAAGCTCGAATATTTCAGGAATTAAAAAAAAAATGAAATTAAATAGCAACTTTGATACTTTGCATCTCGATTAAAATCAACTTTTGGATTAAGGTAAGTTTCATTAAATCACAATATTTTTACCCAAACCATCTCCTGTTTTGCCATATACCATTACTTATGGGACACCTCGTATAATCGCAAAAAATACGCATCACTGGAGGTCTGAATATAAAGTTAAAATGTAATATTGGAAGATTTATAATTTTACGGCCATGAAGAAACTTTGACATCAATTTGATTTTTGGATTTATTTAGGAATATTATTCCTGAAATAGAACATCTAAATTTAATTTGCCAAAAGAAGCGCCTCCTTATGCGTGATATCCGTAAATTTTTAGGTTGAAATTTTAGTCTATTGACTGGGAAAAATGACAGCATCTGGACGGCAAGGAGCCCGGATTTAAACCCCCTGGAGCTCTTTTTGTGGGGCACTTTTAAATCGATTATATACAAAAATAAGTCAGAAGTTTTTCTATGACAACAAATTCGTGATGCAATTAACAATTAAATGAAACCCATTATACAGGGTGTCCCAGGACATGACTGCCATAGCTTGAGAGTGTGTTGCTGGGGTGATTTCAAGTTAAAAATGTCAAATTAACTTATACCCTAAACGCTATTATAACTGAGGTACAACCATTTGAAATTTAAAAGAAGCCCCTTTATTTTTTATTTATTTACATTTTATTTTATTTTTTTATTATTATTATATTTTGTTATTTATCATTAAAATGTGCAGCCAGTTGCTGTATACACTAAAAAATAAGATATATTTAACACAAGTCCCAACATTATGATTATACATGCAAAAGACGCTTTTAGTAAAAGTAAATGCAAAAATAACTCGTGTTGGGTTTATTTTGTGCTAAGTTAACCATTTGTGTGCAGGACTAGTTATGCCAAGAGGAATTCCAATTTCAAAAGACCTAAAGCAAAGAGTAGTAAATGCATTTGTGGAAGGTACCAATCAAGCTGATATTTCAAGACAGTTTATGTTACCTCGGTATCTAGAATAATTTCATCGTATAATGACACCTAGAAAAATTGCCGAAATCGGGAAGACCCAAAACAACAACGGTTTTGACTGGCAGGCGCATTAAAAGAATTGCTCAACAAGATCCTTGGAAGTCCGCAACTCGAATAATTGCCGAAATTCCAGAAATTACAGTTGGTATACGAACTGTGCAAAGAAGATTAGTAGCTTCAAAGTTGTTCATTAGACGGACAGCAAAAAAATCGCTAGTTTCAGCAAGAAACAGAGCAGCAAGGTTGGCCTTTGCACGCCGGCATTTAAACTGGACCGTCAATGACTGGAAAAAAGTTCTATTCCGCGATGAAACGCGATATAAAATATCCAATTCTGATGGCATGCGACGTGTGAGGCGACCAATTAATACAACAATTAAACATGGTAAAGGCAGTGTTTTTTTATGGGGATGTTTCTCATGGAATGGAGTAGGTCCTATACACTTCATTAATGAGATAATGGATCGATTTGTTTATAGGGAGATTATGCAAAATGTTATGCTCCCTAACTAACCAAAACTAACCAAAACTAACCAAAACTAACCAAAACTAACTTAAGGTACACCCAAAATGTTGTGAAAAATTACTTGCTATGCAAGGAAAGTATTTTATCATAACTAGCAAAAAAATATGAAATTTTTTTTATTTAAAAAATACTAAAAAAATATGTTTGTTGCTCTACTTTTGTCCGATAGTGCACATAGTCTAGCTCTTCTTAGAATTACTAACAGTCTCAGGATCACCACGAATAATTTCTGCGGCAACCATAATTCTGATTTTTTTCACTCATTTATTAAACACTTGCTCCGCTCGTGCCAAATAAACTCGTGACTCAAGTGCCGCTCGCCGCACTTATTACATAATATACTATTAATTGACGTTTACTGTCACAATACATAATATTCACAGCCACTTGGACTTTTTAATAATATTATTAGGAGCAGAACGTAATACTGGAGCAACGAATTCAGTAAAGCCATTTCTTTTTAAATGGTCTTTAAAATGTCAAATACTTGTAGTTAGTTGGTTGATTAGATATTTTATTTGAATTCATCCCAGCTGTACACTCTCAAGCTATGACAGTCATGTCGTGAGACACCCTGTAGTTTAAATGCCCACAAATCATTTGAAGATAATATATACCACATGCATTATTCAATATGTGATAATTTTAATATAAAATTATTAATTTTATTTTTGAAAAAATATTTTATACCCTTTCAGAATTAAGGTTAATTGCGTTAATATTGCCTCGGAATTGATAAAAATCGTCAATAAATTCAAAACGGTGCATTGCAGGACAATTTTCAAAAATATATAGCGTCTTTAATTTAAAAAATTAGGAGAGATCAGATTTTTCGAAACAACGCAACAGCACCTATTTGACAAAAAATATTTCATTTTTGAATATTGTCTGTAACGTAACTTTATTTCACCACCCAGTACGCGACTGAGTGAGAACTGAAATAATATAAAGAATATAAACATAATTTTACTGGAATCAAACTTTTTTTATATAACTCACAGTTTTAGAGATAAACCGGCCACCCTGTACCTACACTGCTAACGCCATAAATTCAAATATCCGCTTATTCAACGTTACGAACTAATTTCAATAACACCCTGTATATTAATTTATTAATTGAAAGAAAAAACAGTTTTGCAATAATGTATCAGTATTTGTAAAAAAAATTGCCTTTCCGGACGCACCGTCGAAAAAACTATTCGAAAAAGTAGCTTCTTTATTATTTACTTTCGGGCACGAAACTGGTGGGGCGTGTCCTCGAAATTTTACTCGAAAGTGGGGAGGTAACGCTACTCGTTAACTGTGGTTTAACGCGGTCGAGTCTGCACGTTTTTTTTTTTTTGTTTTCCCCGCCCCCTTCAAGGCATAGCCGCGCAAGAGGGTCACGAGCTATGCGTGGTGGCGCTGCTCGAGCACGGCGCCGACCCGAATCATTCCGACTCGTGCGGCCGGAACGCGTTGCGGGTTGCGGCGAAGTCCGGCCACAGGGGCGTCGTGCGGTTGCTCGAGGAGTACAACGCGCGCGCGCAGAAGATGGCCGCGCACACGAGCAGCAGCGCGAACTCGATCACGTCGGGCTCGACGGCCGAGACGAAACCGTGTTCTGCGATCCTGTATCCGGCCGGTGGCGGTGAATGGACCGACCAACAGAGGAGATCGACGGTGTCGTTAGGGAATCACAGTTCGAATTCGAAATCGAGCTCGAACCTGACCGGGTCGAGCCAGTCGAGCAGACGAGGCGGCGGCGCAGAGAGGCAACGCGAACCTACTGCGCAGAACGCGCAGCCGATGTCGTTCACGCAGCAGCTGCAGCAGTGCTCGCGCGGCGGCAAAACCCGACCCCTCAGCAAACTGTTGTCGCCCCTGCAAAGCGAACCCCAGAGCCCCATTTACGCGTCCCCCCCGCTCAGCCCCGTACACGATACCTCCAACAACATATTCAGTAAGTGTCGCGAGAGTAGCAACGAGCGTATATTTATTTATTCCACAGGACTTGTAGACTTAACTTTGTACTTCCGTTTACGTTTTTTCTAATGTTATCATTTTTCTACTCCCTTCTATTTCTTTACGGTTCCTTAGTCTCCCGAAGTTTGGCCTTAGACCCCTTTTCCCTTCCCATCGATCTATAGTTCAACCTTGCTTTAGTTTTTGTTCAGGCGCTTTTTGATCTCGTTAACATGCTCAGCACTTTATGTTTTGTTAATTGTTTTTATATTCAACATAGAGAAAACTAATAAAAAATGAGAGTAGCATTGGGTGTTCAGCCCCCATACATGATACCTTGAACAATATATTCCATAAGTGCCCAACTGGGTAGGAATAAATATATATAAATATATTTTTCTACTCCCGTCTGTAAAATGCCTAATTACGAACCGATCTAGCGTGCGGGAAGCGTGGCTTTACCGCGTCAGTTTCGTTTCCCACGGATCTGAGCCACTTCGGATATTTCCGGTATTTTACCGCACGGATTTGGGAGCAATCGGATGTTTTCGGAGATATTTCCCACGCCTTGAATTGTGACGTTTGTTTATTCTGACGGTCGTGTCAGTGAATGTATTCGTGTTGTTTTGCGAAAATGTACCCAAAACTTTTTAAGTCACTCGTTTATTAAACACTCGCTCCGCTCGTGTCAAATAAACTCGTGAGTCAAATGCCGTTTACCGCACTTGTTGCATAACATACTATACTTTGTTTAACAAGACTTGTAAATTTCTAAATCTAATAGAGTCTTCAATTTCTTGCTTTCTTTTTTGAGTTAATATTATTTACGGTTTCCAAATTTTCCAAATTTTTGTTTTTTCATTTTTGGTCTTGCCTTAGGCATCGTTTCCTTCATTACGTACAGCCTTTGCGTTCTCACAATACATGTCATATTCCTGTCCTTAATATGTGTTTTTCAGTTGTTTGTTTGTCCTTATCGTTTGTTCTTTTCCATCATTCCGTCTGTTGTTTCTCCGTTTGATTGAATATCCAAGTTTCACAACCATAAGTTGTTGTGACCCTAATTGCTATATGTTGTTTTATCTCATTAACGCTCCCAGTATTCCATGCCATTTTACTATCCTTCAGTGTTCTAGCTTTTTCATATATTGTTACTTTAAAATAAATATATCCTCTTACACTTTCAAACATTGTTAACCTTACATTCAATAAGTGCCCAAGCGGGTAGGAATGAACATATATAAATATATTTATTTGTTCAACAGGACTTGTAAATTTGGTGTTGAAATCGGTGATTCCATTCCTCTTCTTTCTGATATACCCTTCAATTACTTTCTTTATTTTCAGTCTTCTAAAGTTTTGTTTTTCCATTTTTGTCTTGGCCTTAGGCACTATTTCTTTCCTCAAATGCGTGTCCCAACCATCTTGGCCTTTGCACTGTCACTCATGCAACGTCCCACTATATGCGATTTCACTTCCTTGTGTTGTTTCTCCGTTGAATATCCAAGTTTCACAAGCATAATTGCTATGGTGTACAATCTATATAATCCTACTTTATCTTACTCAGCACTCCCTGTCATTCTATTATATTTTAATCAATTCTTGTTTTCTCTAAGATGAAGTTAGACCTTCTCTATGCGTTATAAATGGGAGGGTCCTTTATTCATAACCACTATTGAATCTGTGGGGACATATTTTATCATTTCTCCAAAATCGTCTTCAAAAACGTGCAAATTCACGTCCTCATATTACGTGACTGAGAAGTTAGCAAACCTCTTCCGATGTGGACGATCTCTTCCCTTTTTCCTCAACGCACCTTACTACTTCATTAATCCACATCTCATCATGATAAAAGACTTTGTTCTACTCTCTTCGGTACTGCCTTATATTTCTCAAGTATATTGCGCAGCAAGTAAAAAATTTCCCAGGCAAAATTCATGTTTTTCAAAGTGGTCCATAATTTTTTTTCTATTTATCAACGAAATAACGGACATCCTGGACAAGCTACGTTAAAATCGTATCTTTTTGGTGGGTATTTCTTTTTTAAAATAAATATAGTGAACTTTTTTCCCTTCTATCGATGTCTTCGTTACTGGTCGGCTTGGTAATTTCAGAAAACCTTTTTTCAACCTGCTTCTGTGAAAATTTTTCAATAACAATAACGTTTTTTCGATTAGATACTTCATAGGTCAGAAAGTCAAAAGTAACAATCTCTGACATGATAGGTGGATTCTGTACGAAAAAAAAAAACAGTACCAAGATTCTAGGTTCTGTATTATACCAGCTTCCGGAAATTACGTATAGTGTTAATGTTGTTTTTACGGTATTATTATACAGAGTCTACCATTTAATGATTCTCTAAAGGTACACAAGTATTGATTCTGGTCAATACTGGCGTTTCCAACTAACCAAAACTGTTTTCACTTGATAAAGAATAGTGAATCTTTCTAGACGAAACATTTTTAGACAATGGGAGTTCAAAACGCCAATATTGACCAGGTCTACCATTGAAGTCTGACGCATTTTCGAATTTTTCAATAGCTTTTGCCTTTTTCTACATCTACTCTTAGATTTCAAGAACACCGGAAAAGTCTAATAAGACGTTTTTTTATTTAAACACGGATCTGCTTGGTTCCGTAGCTAGGTTTTTATTTTTTTGATTTACTCCAATTTACAATAAAATTCGGACGCTGAAAGTAAACTAGTACACATTTTACCACAAAGAGTTTGGACAACCAGAATCGGATCCATGTTGATATTTTAAAAAGCGGCTAATTTTTACTATGGCGATGGCACTTGTGTTTTGAAACTCCCTGTACATATGATTGTGTTGCGATTGTGATCGATAAAACGAATGATAACACGAATGAAGAGGAAAAAGTCGCGGCGAAAAGAAAGGATGCGAAAACGCACAAGGCAAGAAAAACTAGTGTCGACAAGAAATTATTATTGCATAACCAGGTTTATTGCAGAAGAACAAAGACATAAAGAAAAGGAGAATAGTAATGAAAATGCGACATTCAAGAAAGAAAAGAGAAACTGAAATGGAGCAAAAAATTTGCATAAAGAAAATACTACAAATGTTTAAAACAAAGAGAAAAAATACAAGAAACAAGGTAGCATTTTTGACACATACACAGATTGAAAATTACACTGCAGAATTTGAACAACGGATATAACAATCAAACTGAAATCTTTATGGTTAGGAAAAATAAAAAAAAATGATATCAGAGGGCAAAGGACAGATAGAAGGTGTAAGTAAACTGTGTGCGAGACAATGTGTCAAAAAGTACGGTAAACGGCATTTGACTCTCGAGTTTATTTGACACATTTGAACGTGTTGCATACTATACTTTTTCTACGACCGTTAGTTTTTGGGTCCATTTTCTCAAAACAACACGAATTCATTCACTGACATGACTGTTAGAATTAACAAACGTCAAAATTCAAGGCGTGGGACATATCTCCGAAAACATCCGATTGCTCCCAAACCGGTGCGATAAAATCCCGGAAATTTCCGAAGTAGCTCGGACCCGTGGGAAACGAAACGGACGTGGTAACCTGGCACTTCCCTCACACTAGGTCGGTGTGTAATTAAGTATTTTACAGACGGGAGTAGAAAAGATCTTTTGTCAAATGCAAAAACAAAAAAAAAGGTGCAAAAGGAATACATCAGTGAATTCTTTATTAAAAACCCTATTTAAAAACTGGAAATGTTATTAAAAATCATTTAAAACCAACATTTAATGGTTTTTTCTTTAAGCTGTATTCCGAACAAAGTTTTGTGTAATTTTGCACTCGTACTGTTACCTTTTTTTTCGTGTTTGTTTGTTAGTGTTATCCTACGCCGATTGCTCTCGTTTCTTTTTATCACTTTCTTGTTAGTTTTCTCTGTGGGTGGGAAGCAAATAGCTATAAGATAATATAGTGGCCCTACTACGGTAAAAATTGATGCCCCGCAGGTGGCTATGATGTTTTCGTAGAGAGGTTATGAATCTTTTAGGCATGCGTCACCCTCAACTGTCTGAGTTGCTACATTGCCGTAATTTTTCTGGAAAATTGATTGATTTTTATAAGACCGCAATATTGCTCTCTGACATTTGACAAATTGGAAAATATGCTTACACGCCTTGAATTTTTACTAGATCAATAGGAAATACCCATTGTCAACTACTGTCTATAGGAGGTGCTTATTGAAAATTTTTTCCGCTTAGATGTTTCTGATGCGATAATTACAGAATTATACTGGCGCCGAGTGCTGCAATTCTGCCCTGCTTTTCCACACCTTAACTCTTTTTTTGCCAGAAAATTTAATAGGATTTCGACATATTTTGAGAAACCTCTGCCGTAAAAATGCCACATTCAAACATGGACGATCTGTGAGGGGGCCATATTGTTTGTTGAAAGCCGCAAGGCCTTATGGGTCCAACGTCAGAATTTGCCATTAGAGCTGTCATTGATTAAAAACGAAATTTTAAATCTCGCGCATGCGCACCTTGAACCGTTTAATTCAGCCTAGCCAATTTGTAGGCGCGATGAACATTTACCAGCCGGTGTTGAGGCACAACAACTTCGCGAAAGCTCCGGACACGCATTTCGCGAGGGACACGCACATGCGCATCATACTGGGCAACTCGGGAAACTCGCCGTTCAGCAAAGAGAAAAAGTCGGACGACAAAACGGAGAAGGAGTCGAACAATACGAAACAGGGGTGAGTTTAGTACTACTTTTACTTGAAATGGGCACGACTACTAAAGGTTATCCGGCCGGCTTACAAATATTAGTAAATATAATTCAAAATTCCAAAAGGATGCTTTCGTAAAAAAAATGGTCTGGACTGTTCCATCCTCCACCAAGTGTGTTAATATATCCATACAGTAGAATAAACTTCTAAATAATTACGATTCTGATATAAAATGACGACCTTTTCATCTAACGGCTCCAGCAATTAACCGGGATACCAGCGTCAATATGAGACATCCGGAAACCGACCAATACTCCATACAAATTTATAAAAATAAGTATATAAAAATTTCCGGTTAAAAGCAGTGAATTTAAGCTCTTAACAAATCAACAATGATAATAATAATGTTTTGATCTACCTATTGTTTAGAAAATGAATAGAATGCTTATTTATTATCAAGGGATTAGTTCATGAAGTAGTAAAAAATACCTACATAAATTCCTAGAAAATGTCAATTAAAAAAAACGTTATTTTAATATTTTGTCAAATAAATTCACGAAGTTTTTCTTAAATTTATTCGCGAAATAGGAGTTATTACTATACCAACTGTTGAAATAAATCCAAAATCAAGATTATGTTATTAATATAATCCAATGAACGCGCGTTGTATAGCCAATTTTTTACAATGTATCAGAAAAAACAATGATAATTAACGTCATAATACATTAAAATAAAACTAATTTTGTTAATAGTGATCTATGATAGTTCTTATCTGTGGCTAGAAATCCAAAAGAATCTCTACAATTTAATAAAGGTAACACTCTATCTCCTTCAAAGTCTCCATAGATCACGCGCTGACACAGACCACACCAAAATAAACTGTATTTCATGACAACAAAAACAGTCAAACATTTCCTATTAAGAATTTGAGTGGAGGTCTCGTGCGTGATTCGAGCCCATAGTAATGAGAAATAAAGATACTATATACATCGAACTGGTTGGATTGTTAAATTGTTTTTGAAACGTCAGAAGAAATTCTTGAATTACCAAAAATGTTGCAAGACATGTAAAAAATGTGTTTTGGCATGCAGCGGAATATTTCGTATTTACTTTATTTCCAAAAAAAATTGTGTGTTATTTACGTATATTATTTTTCCTCCGTAGCAATCAAAAATCGAAACGCAACGGTATAGTGACTAATCCTGCGTTACGATTGGTCGCCAACGTCAAAAACGGATTGGATTCGGCGGCCGCGAATTTTAGGAAATCTACATCTGGCGCGAATCCCGCCTCCAAAACGAATAGTTTCCATTGGAGAAAAGAAACTCCCTTGTAATATAATATGCGACGCAGAGTCGTGCCGTGTGAATTTTGCTAGTCAATAATAAGAATCGGTGAGTTTGTTTACAGGCGAGTTCCTTCCTTATCTCTTTTTTTGGTCTTCTAGGTTTTTAGATTTCGACCGTTCGTTTGGAGAAAGTCGCTAACAGCACTCACCTAGTCTTAACGATATCAAAGAAGCTATTTCTAAGTTGTTTTTTTTTATGTAAAACAATAATTTGTGTATTTTGTATATTGATTTTCGTGCGAAACTAGTTTCGATCGGGCCTAAGTTCTGCAACGACGCGAGTTACTGTTTTAGGTTTTTTTTGTGATAGACGTTTGGTAGGTTGATTATTTTTAAGTCTCTCGTTCGTAGGTTACTTAGGAAGCACCAGATACAACAAACAAAACTGTACTGTCGCATTACCACCGCACAGGGGAATGAAAGAGATTTGTTGGATGTTGGGCATATCATATTTTGAAACCACACAAAATTTGACAAAATATAGAATAGAGCTCAAAAGAATTTTAGTCTTGGTATATTTACAGAAATAGCATTACATTTTTTTAAATGTAAGAACAATAATTCAAAAGCGAAATACCAAGGATTATTTATTATTACTATTAATTAGCAAATATTAATTCCACTAAAAACAATAAACATTTCACACTTGATATATTAACACAAAAAAAAACATTAACTCCATATAATACTGCGATAATTAAATAATGTTTATACAATATTGCTTTAATCTTTAGGCTTTAACTTTCATCTTTATTCTCAAGTCATCTGACAAGTCGAACAAATCTAAAACTTCTGGAGACAGTTCGGCAATATCTCACTTTTTATAGATATTATACAATTTTTGTTCAACAACTTATTGAACCTATGTAAATAGTATGATGCATCCTATAGTTCAAATCCTGTTTTTTTTAAATAGCAAATTGGAGAAACTTTATATATTTCTAAATTTCTAACATTAGTCGTGGTTATAGTGAGTACACTATCTTAAAGCTGAGAAAAATTCAACTTTTTTGTTTAATGCTTTTTGCTCTATATCTGCAAGGAAAGTGATGGGACCTGTTCGATATTTTTCTTAAATAAAGGCTGAACACATTTTCATAAACTCGTGATTGCTTGTACCTTGCTAACAGGTGAAATTTTCTGTCAGTCACAAAAAAGTGCCCAATAATTGGGGCGCTCTGTATCATGAAAGTGAATATTCTAGAAATTCCTGTAAAACCTTTGTTTTTAAAATTTTGGTTCTAAAAAAAACAGTTTTTGAAACTCCCATATTCAGTTTTCCATTTTCCCGAAAAATATTCGGCCCGACGTCCGTTATTTGTCTCAGCTAGTCCCATTGTGCGCCGTAGGTAACGGCAACGCCCTACGTAATATCGGTGGCGTTGCCAGATTGTTCAAGCAATATTCTCGATTTTTTGGTTGCGTTTTGGTAAAGGATCTCACACTGTGGCGTTTTTGAAAATGTAACCCGAAATATTTTTATATGTATGTAAGTTAGGAGACGTTTTTGATGATTTCGATTGGTAACTCTTGATTTACCTCGTAAAGACCCCCTCCGGCAGTTTCGTTTGGAAGCGAAGCAATAAGCGGAAGACATGCGACGCACCTATATATCAATTACTATGCCTTTTTGTATTTATATGAAAGCTTTAGTTTTATACAGGTATAAGAGATAAACAAAACTGCACTGTATATGTTGAACAGTATTAAGTGAAAACAATAAAAATCTATATATATAATATACAGGAAAATATTTTTTGCGCACCATGCCTAGCATAAAAGTCATCGAAATCATTGGCCATGATGTCAAGTTATACACTGCTATAATCCACATTTTCAATTCTCACATTACCAAAGCAAAGAATCCATCACAACTTGCCGCATTTATGTTGTGGTTAAAATGAAGAAGAGACTCTAATTAAGTCGCCATTCTGTGAAACTGTCTTTTACATTATTGTTTATTTAGTTTTCAAGCAATTTATAAAGTTTTTTAAGGTAATGTTAGCATTAAACTAGTTTTTAAATTACGTTTTTCCAATAACCAAAGCTAAATAAAAATATAGAACAAAAATATATAAATAAATATAGAACAAAGTGTAGCAAAGAAAACGAATACTTTTCATATAAGCACAAACCTTTTTTTCCAGATAGTCTTATCTTAATTACATCTAAACCAATCCTTCTTAAAAGTTTTGCCTGATACTGTTTACATCTTGTTGACAAATTTTAATACTTTAAAAGCTTCCAGGAGAGTATAAAAACTCATGTCGTTCTAATTGAACTATGCTATACATTACAGGAGTTAGAAAATATTAATATTGTCTGAGAAATAAAACTGTGTACCACAATATATGAGAGTGCAAGGGAAACCGACCATATGGGCGATACCAAATAAATGCTAATAACTCTAGGTCGTTTTAAAATGAAGGTGACATTCTTCGAACCAATGCATTCACTCATCTGAGAAATGAGATCTATGCCCAATTGCCTGCATACTGCACAAAATCACCGACCCCCACCTAATTTCAATCATCAACGAAACTTCTTGATGGTCGAATCGGTATGCCGTCGTAAAGCCAACTGCCGAAGTGCAGATAATTCCACGAATTACTTAGTGGTTCCTGATAAACTATATCTTCCTTTCTTTTACGATTCACACATTGACAAGCACACAGGCTCATTACTGATAACCGACGTAAATTGTTTAATCCTCCAAGAATCAGTATCGTTGAAATAGGAAATGGTCTCTGTCGAGAATGGGCAAATGTCCTTAGCATACTTGTCCACATTACGGAATAGCAAAAAGAAGAAGATGTTCTATGTTCTTTTCTCCCAACACACATCTGATAAACATTTTTCTTAACCTACAATTTATTTGGTAAACTAAACAAGCCGGAATGTAGGTTTTGTTTTTTAGGTTCAAAAACCCGTTTTGACAGTGGCATCCGAAAAGGTTAACTGGCGCACACGCGATATTCGTTGCAAATCTGGATGATAAGGCGGAAATCATGATTGCTGCCTCAGATCCACAGGTAACAACCACCGCGAAAATTGCAACAACTTATGGGATGATATTTGTCAGGAATTTATTCCCCGTGGACGGCAGCAAGTGCAACGTCACCCCGGCCCGCTGGGGACGGCGTTCGGCGGCAAAAACTTGGACGAATTATTGCCCAATGAACTGAAGAAAGTATCCATTAGCGAAGGAACCAAAAACGAAAGCTGGATTTTACGTCGCGTCCTCGACGACGGCCTTATAAACTCACAGAGCCTCGACGAAGTGCCGAATAATAAAAGTTGCATGCAACATGAAGTTAATAAGACAGGGGCTACTCAATACAGTGAGTTTTTCGAGGACTCTGCCAGTTTTAAGTTTGTTGAAGGCAGTGGTCAACCGAAGATGGGTAAAAGATTGTCAGACGCCAGCCCCAAGTTTCCAAACAAAAGATTTTCTGGAGCAAGTGATCTCAAAGCAACTTCTTCGAAGGCTAGTGTTGATACTAATAGATCTCATTGTATGAAAACTGCTGTTAGCGTAGGATAGTATGATTACAGACGAATTTTAGGTAATTTAAATTTAGAATCTAGTAAATTTGAAACAAAATTAAAGCCGGGCTACATGGAAGATGAACTTTACATAAATGGTTATACCGCGGTATGGTCTCGTGGTTTACTTGACGGCAGCAGTTTATCTGATAATGGCAGAAGAGTTATAGCCTGCTATACCGTGCCGTTGCCGATTCGGCAAGCGCTGTGGTGCACTTTTTACTGCGAGAGACCTGTGTTTGATTTAAATCTGCTCGATTTACACGCGAACATTGATACACCTTCTGGTAACCCGGTTCCGGCTATATGCATTGTCGATTCTCATAATGTGAGAGTTTTCATGGTGAAAGGCGAACAGTATGTAATCCCAGTGCCTTTTAAAATAGAGAAAGTTTGGAACACCAAATTTGGACTGTTTATCGAGAAAAGTTCCGACAGTAAGTTAGTTATGGTGCAATCTTTTGATCTTAATATGCACAATTTAAGCTCATTTCGAAGAGAACTATCATATCCAATCGCCCGCCACTCTATATTCGCAAGCTTATCCTCTGGACGACGTTTGTCCCGTCATTATAAGGCAAAATTTAACCTCGAAACCGTTTAACAATCCCTATTTGAGGGTCGTTTATACCCACGAGAATCCGAGCATCTGCATAATGTTCGACGCTAATACTAAAGAGCACAGCGTGTACCGCATCAGAAAGGTTAAGGCCGACGAACGAGAATGCGGAGAAAACACCAGCCACTCTGTAGCTTTCAACACTCATAAGGTTTGATAACCACATTTATATCTGGATGAAATATTCGCGATTACGTTGATTTCAGCTGAAAAGTCGTCTCTCTATGTGGGACAATTTGGCCACTCCAAGTCCTATCAGCGCTGGCTCCAGACCCCACAACAGCGCCGAGAAAATTTGCTTCGCGCAAAAATCGCGCTCATACTCGGCCGCGGGACTTAGGTAAGTGTGTTTCAAAGTATATCGTTTTGTATTTTGACTGTAATTGTCAAAATAAGGTGCCGACAGCAATAAAACACCAGTCCGTATTAGCACTAATAGAAAATAGGATAACATTAAATATTCACAAATAAGTACGTTTTTACTCAAAACCTAAGAGTCTTCATTAAGATTACACTCTATGTTATTTCCTATGCAAATGTAAGATACTTCAATTCTTAAAATGTGTGTTGTACCGAATTTGACCACCTATCTCATTTTGAATTACATTTATTACACCCATACGTAAAAACAGGAGTAACATTTACTTTTTTATTTATTTATTGCAAAGTTTTTTACATGAAAAACAACCAAACAAAACGCAACAAGTACAATATCATCATATGTATCTCACAGTAAGTGGCGCTTAAATGCAAGAAGCATTTGTATGTGCTCTATGTTATATTGATGAAATTTTAGCAAAAAGATATAATATACTATTTTATATAATTTTATTACATAGTTTGTACAATAGTGCTTAAATAATTCTCTCAACATCTGAATCTATTACAACGAAAATTTGTACCGTATAGTCATTCAAATAGAGATTGCCATCTTTCACTCTTATGCAATAAAAAGTATTTACAAGCTTGAATATATTTTCTAGAATTAGTAATATTTTTTAACCCTTTTAGTAAAATATTATTTACTTTGGGACCAATATATGTACAACATTTTAAATTTATATTATTGTAATTGGTTGGTATTTAAATACTTCTGTTTGTTCTGCCACGTGTCAAATAGTTATGGTCAGCCAAGGCACTGGCGCTTAAATTCAATAAATAGTTTATATATGTAATGAAACGTATAGGTCCTAAGACCGTGCCTTGTGGGACACCGATTTTTATCAGCTAGATAATTTTTTACTAATTTTGAGACTATTCCTCTGATACCATTGTTTTGTTTTGTGGTGTTTATACACCAACATTTGATTTTACTTGGTGCCAAAAATATTCTATGAGGTTGATATAAAAGAATATCTGTGTAGCTCAATTAACTCATACATATTTTTTGTTGTTGTTTTTTTTTTCTGCGTTGTCAAAAAGATTATACACAATCACACAGACACCATCCAAATATTTAATCAGTAATTAGTTATTTGCGTTAATTCGACGCACAAATGCAGAAAGTTAGCAAGTTTGACTCACCAAATACCGACGCAGGAGGATGAGTTTCTTCACCTGATCTTCAGGTCCAATGATAAGAGCATCATCAACAAATAATGCTAGCGATATATTGCCATTCACATATAAACAATAGTCATATTGGGATCTTCGAAAATTTAAACTACTCATAACTTGGTTAAATTTCATGTTCCAACATTTGGGTGCATTTCATAGTCCATATAAAGCACGTTTTAATTTTAAATACCTAGACTTCGTTTTCAAACCGTCTGGTGCTTTTATGTACACATCATTTTCTAAAATTCCATTGAGAAATGCAGTAGGAACGTCAATTTGGTGCAGTTTCCAATTATTCTGCAAAGATACTGAAATAAGTAGTCTTATTGTAGCCAATCTGCATACCGGTGAGTAACTGAAGTTGTCATTTTCGGTATAAGGTACTTGAAAACCTCTTGCAACCAACCTGGCTTTCCTCGTACCATCTTCTTTCATTTTGAATATCCACTTTGTGTCTATAGCTTTATGACCTTCAGGAAGTTCTGTGGGAATCCATGTTTGAGAATTTTCATGAGCTCGTATTTCCTTTTCTATGGCTTCCCTCCAGTCTGCAGTTTTACAAGCTTCTTCATAGCTTTTGGGTTCATCTTCCGCTGATGTAAGTAAACAATATGCACTGTAGATTTCAGTAGTTATTATTCGTTACTTCACCATCCCCCGTCCCCCGGGGGAGATTTTGTGATTGAAATTTTACAGATTCCCAAGCAACCGAAACAAAAAAAAAAAATTGACCATTCTACGAGAGATGTCGCCGCCCATTAAGAGCTCAGGTTTCGATCGCCAGATGTCACCCTTAATGGGGGGTAGGGGGTAGTTTTCGCGTTAGTGCCTCTTTGGCAATTTCGCCCCCGCTAGGGGTAGTTTTTGCGTTAGTGCCTTTTTGGCAAACTCACTCCCGGTAAAAAAAAGGGGTTCGTAGAAAAAAGAAATTTCGTAGTGTCTTTTCGGCACTCCGGGGTGGGGGATGTGAGAAATAAATGTGACGTATTTTTGCGCGAGGCAAAAAAAGCGACCGGTGTGTTGCGCGCGGTCGGGGGATTCGAACCTCGAACCTTCGTGTGTAAGCGCCTTTGACGCGCTGTTCCTATAGCCTAACTCGGCCGACACGGGGGATGTGCGTCGCTTATGCCCGGTGACCCGTTTCGCGCGCTACGTTAGTCGAGCTTAGCCGAGCCTAGCCGACGACGATTTCGCGGCGGCGGCGACGACAAGAAAATTCAACTAATAAAAGGTCGTCAAGGTCGCGTAAAATATAATAATTTATTGACAACATTTTTTTTTGCGGATTAAATAAAATGCAACAGGGAAAAAGACGTTTAATGACACTAATATCGAACAAATTGTTTTATTAATCATATACAAAACCCCATCAGGATAGACACATATTAATAAATATATTCGAACGATATGCATATATAAATAGCATATATGGACATAAATAGATACATAAATTAAACACAAATATAAACTACAATCATCTAAAGGAATCGTAACATATTAGTTTGCCAAAAGAAATATCTGCTTCGTATGTGGTCGATCAGTCAGTGATTTTCCCGCTGTCCTTTGAACCAACCAAATTTCGATGGCCCCAAGCTAGCGTGTACTCTGAGCCGGGTATAAGATGTCGTTTGTCATCCGCGTAAGACAACGCCACCTTATTTTTCAGTTCGACGTACATATCATGTAAATGTGAGCGAAATGAAGACATTTGGCGCAAGATTAGCGTCCCTTCCTCGTCGACAGCGCGTCGAGACTAAGTTCGCGCTGGCTGACCGAGTCAGCAACGCCCTTGGCCTTTTTGGTCAACTCGTTGCCGTCCACATTTACGCAATAAGCTTTCGCTCCCGTACCCAAGAATTCCCACAACGGCCGTCCTGCGTACTCGTCCTTCATTTTACCAAGAACGGACTTGTTTACAGGAATGCCGTGTTGGTTGTTCTCCGAGTAATTAGACGTATCGAATTTGTCCAAATTTTCTTTCATATCTTCGTAGAAATTTTCGCAAAAAATTTGGACAACGAGGCTGTCGGTATCGGTGTAGAGTAAGACGGCCTTGTCGCCGTACTTAGCCTTTAGATAGCCGTAAAAAAAGTCGTATATGAGAGTCTTGGATATGTCCAAAATGCAAAATCCGGCGTAAATAGGCTTATCATATACGACTTTAGTCCTTTACATATGGAGAGCGACTAGATTTTCGCTAAATATGGCGACATTTTTAAAATTAGGTCTCGCGATTAACGCTTCTGCCCCCAACCTTTTCCCAATATTTTCCCAATGGGAAACGAGCCGCACGTCCACCCTTTTGTCTACATTTTCCATCGTTTTTCCAAACACAGCGTTATTCATAAGTTTGAAAAAATCTTTTTCAAACTTATTTTTAGCTGTATTACGCATCGCCGTATTCAAGTCTATGTATTGTTTTAGGCAGGGAGATTGATCGAAAGCAAGAACTCGATGGATGCGAACAAGCTTTAAGCCGTTGCTTAAAGCCTGTTGCAGATTCCTATAATGCAATACATAATTACGTTTATTGTTTAAATTTGGAATAAGTTTTTTCATTTTGGTTTTCGCGATTGGCGAAACGATGGATTCCGGGCAAAAAGGCAGTTCGTTGTGTGCGTCATGCAGCACTTCCGGATAGTCCAAATCTACTTCGAAAATATAGCCCCTAGGTGAATGGTTGGGGATACGCGTAATATCTTAATTTTGAATTTTGCCCTCCTCCAACCACTCGAAGTTTCCCGTTGGGAGGTATTGTGACATGGCCGCCCCGTATAAATTGGTAGCGTCCAAGTACATGACGTAAGAGGTAGGTTTGGAAGGGTCGTAATTAGGTAAAAATTTATTATTAGCCGCGGCCTTTCTTACACTACACTGACTGACTCCTCCGCGGATACCGTGCTTCAAGAAATGTATCATGTCCACGTCGGTCAACAGGTCCAGTTCGACCTTATTTATTTATCGTATGGCGTACATTGTGCTATGCTATTATATGTTCTCAGAGCATATAGATATTGATGTTACAATTTTATGTCTAAATTTTTAATATAATCAATCGCCTCTTCGGTTGCAGTCATAAAATCAGTGATAGGTCCTTGGTAGGCACGGTTTGGGCAATCTTTCACTATGTGAGTCACTGTTTGATTATTGGCCCCGCAGTCGCATTCTGGCGAGGTTATCCATCCCCATTTATGAAGAGCGTCAGCACATCTGCCATGGCCAGCACGTATTCGGTTCAATGTAGTCCACACTTTTCGAGGCAAGTCAGATCCAGCAACCTTCTCTGAAGTAAGGAAAGTTTGAAAGTGCGATGGGCATTGTTCCTGCCATCTTTGTTGCCAGGCGTTCGCTGCGTTGAAATTTGAGTCCAACAGCTCTTTAGCGGTGATTAGCGCTGGTTTCCTCGACTTCAGTCGTTTGCGCTCTAGATCGCCTATTTCATTGTGTATAGGTAGCTCTGTATTATTGTTTATTTTCTGATACTCCTTAACAAGGCTGTTTTTACGTCGAATTTCAGGTGGCAGTACGTGGCTCAGGAAAGGCAGCCAAGCAATTGGTGTGGACTTAATCGTGCCGCTGATTATGCGCATTGTTTCGTTCAGTACAGTGTCGATTCTCTCAGTGTGCGGGCTGTTAATCCACACTGGTGCGCAGTATTCCGCCACAGAGTAGACAAGACCGACTGCCGATATACGGAGCGTGTCCGGTGAGGAGCCCCAGGTGGTACCACACAATTTATGAATGATGTTAGTCCTTGTTCTCATTTTGCTTGCGGTCTTTATC